AGCGGGGGATCTCAGAGGCCTCCGGAAACTGCTGGCGCCAAGCGTCGATCAGGCGTGCAAAGCAGCGGCGGGCGGTGTGGGTGCCCCCACACTGCTCACCCGCGCGGTCGCCGGTGCGAAGGACGTAGGTGCAGGGACCGAACGCCCCACCACGCTGACGCTGCAAGTACCACTCACGGAGCTGCTGAGGGGCGGGGACGTCGCGAGAGCGCTGCTGCTGCTGCTGCTGCTGCTGCTGCTGCTGGCGCTGACCACCCCCAGTGCTGCTCCGCTGGGACGAGCCACTCCGACCACCTCCACCACCGCCACCCCCGCCTCCGCCGCCACCGCCGCCACCGCCACCCTCGCCCCCGCCGCTCCCACCGCCACCTCCACCGCCACCTCCGCCACCACCTCCGCCTCCACTGCCGCCACTAGTACCTCCACCCCCGCCCCCACCTCCACCGCCACCCCCACTCCCCCCGCCGCCCCCACCTCCTCCGCCACCGCCCCCGCCAGCTCCACCCGCTCCCTTGCCCCCCTTGCCCTTGCCAGAGCGGCGCCTACCGCTGGGGGCAGACGCCGCTCCGACCGACTCTAGACCAACGAGGTCGGCCGCAGCAGCAGAGGCGACAGAGGGTAACAGGGGGGAAGGAGAACACCCCTCAAAGATGGGGGTGCGGGGGTCACCACGAGAGGCCCCTACAGCGACTATGCTCTTCTCGGCCGCTAGTAGGGACTTCTTGAGGAGGTCGACAGTGAGGGTGGTGGGACAGACAGAGAGAAACTGGTCCCGAACAGCACGAAGGGACTCAGGGAGACGGGTGACTAGAAAGTAGAGGGTGATGTACATGGGAGGGGGTTTTTCGGCGCAGAAGGCAGCTGGAAGCGCAGCTCGGTAGCGAGTGTCACTAGCGCGCAGGTGGGTAAAGAGGTCAGCGACTGTAGGAAAGGCAGCAAGGTCAGGGAAGAGGTAAGGTAGCATGAGGCGGCTCAGTGTAGCAGTGGAAGGGGAGGAGTAGCGCGCAACTACAGCGTCGTACAAGGCCTGAGCGGTCTTGCACTGACTAAAGTGTGCACGCTCAGAGGAAGGGAGGTGGCGACGCGCGTGTGGCCCACTTGGAGCGAACAGTGGGGTCAGCATCAGCAGGAGGGGCAGGGACAGCGCCAGAGGCAAAGTCAAAGAGAGAGATGTCGTCTACTGAATCGCACTGCAAGTACAGCTGCAGGTCCTTGACCCAGACCGCAAAGTCAATGGCGCGACCCTCAGCGTCAAAGGCCAGGACACTAGGGGTGGCCATGATAGCAGCCGACAGTCTCACCAGACAGGAAGGGTCGAGCAGCTCAGTAGAACAGCAACACGGCAGCTCAGCAACTCCGCCGGCCCAGGAGTAGCAGCAGCCCCACAGGACCCGGCGCTCGGCACGTAGGCGGCTCGGGCGGCTCGGGCGGCTCGGGCGGCTCGGGCGGCTCGGGCGGCTAGGGCGGCTCGGGCGGCTTGGGCGGCTCGGGCGTTCAGCGGCACGGGCGACTCGGGCGGCTCTGCTGCTCGGGCAGCGCGCGCGGCTCGGGTGACGCAGGGACACGGGCGGCGCGGGCGGCGTGACGGGCTGCTCACGGGCGGCTCACGGGCGGCTCACGGGCGGATGTACGAGCGGCTGCACGGGCGGCACTGGCGGCTCATGGGCGGCACGACGGGCGGCTGCACGGGCGGCTGCACGGGCGGCTTGACAGGCGGCTGCACGGGCGGCTGCACGGGCGACTCACGGGCGTCCGAGGGCGGCTGAGGGCGGCTGACGGGCGGCGCACGGGCGGTGCAGCTCACGGGCAGCCGAGGGCGGTGCACGGGCGGCGCGTCGGGCGGCGCACTGACGGCTCACGGGCGGCTGACGGGCGGCCCACGGGCGGCTCACGGGCGGCTCGTCGGGCGGCTAAGGGCGACGCGCGGACGGCGTGTGGGCTGCCTGGGGCCTAGCGAGCGGCGCGCGGGCTGATTAGGGCGGCGCGCGGGCCGCTTAGGGTGGCGCGCGGGCTGCTAAGGGCGGTGCGCGAGCTGCAAAGGGCGGCGCGCGGGCTGCACAGGGCCTGGACGGGCGGCGTGCTAGCGTCTAGGGCGGCGCGCTGGCGGCGTGAGGCCTGAACAGGCAGGGCGCGGGCGGCTAAAGGCCAGTCGACAGAGTAAGAGAGAGCCCGGAGTGCGCTCCGGGCAGAAAAAAAAAGTTCGAAGTAGTGGTGGGCCCTAAGCACAGTTCCCACAGGGGAACCTGCTCGATACCATGAGAAGAAGTGAACGAGAATGAATCAACTATGAATGAAGTGAGTACATATAGGAAACCCTGATTGGGTTGTACCCCCTATGGGATACCCCACTATAGCCTACACAAATATATATAAGCTATAATGTTCTGACAGGGTGGACCCAGCAGTTCCGAAAAGAGTTTTTAACGGAGTCAGCGCGGTCGCTGACAGTATCCGTGCCGACGGCCGACTGCAGCGTTGCTTGATTAAGCGCGTGAAGGCACTCGTCGTCAAAGTGTGTAGCCGTTCAAATCGGAAGCTGCTCGGGGTTACCAGCCGCAACACGAGGGAAAATTTTGCAACAGGTGGGGGGAGAAGGCGACAGCTGTTTTCGCCCCTGCCCGGAGGTTTTCGGCGAGTCACGACAACACCGATAAGGTAGCTGACGTCATCGACAGTTCAAGTTCAACTTTGAAAAAATATTTGCGAGGTCAGGGGGAAGAGCAGCAGCTGTTTTTCGCCTCTGCCCGGTACTTCTCGGCGAATATCGACAAAAGCCTCGGCGAGTCTGGACAAGACTTCCAGGGGCGCCGACAGCTGGAGAAGCTACAATGAGGATTTTCGACACTGCAGCAAGACAAACGACAGCAATTTCGGGAATGCAGCAGCTGACAACTGAAGATACTGCGGCAGCAAGGTGATTCGGTGCTGCCACGCGGAGATTTTTGGGTGGCAATCTTTTCCAAAGGGAGGGAGAAAGTGCTCTCGCACTGTACTTGTCAGTATTTTCTGACATCTCGTCTGACAGATCCAGCACGACGGACCCTCGCAATCACATGGACGACATCGACGGGTCCTGCTTCATCGACTTCTGACAACGCGTCAGCATTCCCGCCCACGACGTGTTCATCTTGACCGTCCGACAGAGATCCACCACATCGACGACTCTCATTCATTAACGACTTTTCAACTCGACATTCGAATTCAACCGCCCGATCGTTATCGGCAGTATCAACGGCTGACATTCCAACTCTTTGAATTTCGCATGGTCAACGCGTTCAGCCACGCGTCAACTTGACAGTCAACGACTTCTACACCGTCAGATCAGTTTCAACCGAGATCTGCAGTTTTCACACTACTGCACGACTCGTCTACGGATAAGGGGACCTTATTTAGAAGGTGGGAGAGTGTAATGAATATGAATTCATTACTGTAGAGGCTGTTCCTAGCGAGGACAACCCCGAGCACTTCGCGTCAGTTTCGAGGTTCGGCCTACATTTCGGACCGAACCACCGACGAGTCGCTCCGCACCAATCGCGACACTTCCAACCCATCCACGTCCCGAGGTCCTCGCCTAGCACGGTTTAGACCCTATAAATGCTTGCTTCTTTATCATTCTCGACATTCTGTATTCGACATCCTTTTTATAAAGTCTTCCGCGCACTCTGTCTAGTAAAACTCATAACTCATAAGTTGGTAACGAGCACTCTCGTCAATTACACAAAGTAGCAGTCGGTAGAGAGCATCAAACAGTAAACCACCGTTAAACTCTTCACATTTTGCACCCCACGAACCAGAGATGAGAAGCGTTTCGTAAGCAGCGGCAATCAATTTTTGTGTTCGCGGAACACGCCCTCTATATGCTCTTCCATCCTCTCGTCCGTACTGATTTCCTCGAAGGTAGCGAGCAAACGGATGTATGAGCAAAACACAGATGCTCCTCCAATCACGTCCATTCGAACACGGGTTTCTTCGCCATAGCTCAATGCCGATCTGTGATAACTCCAGCGAGCCAATGTGCTGCCATGCCACGCGTGCAAGCCGCGAATGCTTCGTCGAGCTTTTCAGTACCAATCGCTTATTCTTGTTGCCGTCCTTGCAAAAAATGGCACGTCGAGGCGCGAACGGCTTTTAGTTATAAAAGCGACTCTTGATTCTCGATAATTCGCATCTCAACCAATCCATTACAAACTCGCATCTCTTTCAATTTCCATCCCCCAGCTCGCATTGTTATTCATCGTAGTACTCGCCATCTTCTCTAGCTCTCGGCATTGGTGATATTCATGGCATCCCGCAAGCTCCTCGTCCCCTTTGTCCTGCTCGCCCTGTTCCTCGCTGCTGAAGGTACGCGCGTTTCCGTCATTCGCATTATCATTACAAGGCATTTCTCCGTGATGTTGTTCAGTTACTCGTTTCGCAGAAAGCTAAGTATCTTACTCCCTCCCTGATGTCCCCCAGGGGCTCGACCCAGGTATGTGCCCCGCACGAGGAGGGCTCTCGAGAACCGCACCTGCCCCGGCCAACACGGCACTAAAACAAACCTCAAGACGTGCGCGTTACACTCTGTGTCCGACAATCGCGCGGAGTGGCGAACCGGGTGTCTGACTCAGATGGTCGCGGTCGGAGGAGAAGCGTTGGTCCCAGTGACGTCAAATGTGACACCGAAATTGTATGCAGCGCAATATGCACCTAAGGGCGTGGTCCCATACGTCAAGGCAAACTCCAGGATGTAACTAACTATTTTACACTATCACATCAGGACTATGGAGTTCTCCTGATACTCCATCTCAGCAGGAGAATTGTGCTGGTTATGATTACAGTATGATGGTGCATGCTATGCTAGGAGTCATACCAACTACGTTGATATCATCGCAATGTCATAATTTCTCACTCGAATAGAAAATACTGTAAAGGGTCTATTATTGAACATCAATCACTGTACAACAGGCCTGTAAGATGTACCTAAACACATAGCGAACACAAGGGTCAAGAACCCCATCAAATCACTCAATTAAGTCAATGAAGAGCCGGTCTTCAAAGAAACAGCTGTCACGGCGGAAACCGGGCAGCCTCAACAAATGGTCTGGAATCTTCACGCCCACAGATTTCTCATCTATGCACAGCTCGGGCAGCCCTGCCAGTGCTGTTAACGATTCGGGCAGGTGCCGCAGATTCGGGCAGTTCTGAACAACAAACGTCTGGAGGAATTTCAGCTGCCCGACGCCAGCCGGGAGGGCCTGAATGGCCGGACAGAATGCAACCACCAGCCTCTGCAGGAACTGGAGGCTGCCCAGGGATTCGGGCAGCTTGGAAAGCTTCGAGCAGCCAATCAAATCCAACCGTCGAAGATTAACCAGCTGTGAAATCTCCTCTGGAAGCTCAGCTATTCCCGCAGGCTTGGATTTCTTCTCCAGTGTGGTTGGCAAGTCAGCCGGCAAAATCAACATCAGGGAAGAGTTCATCGCACTGCCTGTCTCCGTGGTAACCGCATCGCTGCCCAAGCCAACTGCACCGCTTCCTGAGAGCGACGCTTGAGACGCTGATCTGGACCCCAGGCGGCTGGCAGGTGGGTCCGAGAAAGATTCCCGATTTCTGGTCTCTGTGAAGTCGAGAACGAGGCTTTCAAGAAGGTGGAGGGAGAAGAAGGCAGGCGGGAGGGTGGTGAGGGAGACGTTGGCTCGCAGGACCAGCTGACGGAGGTTGCACATGGCTGATGGGGTGATACCCATGGATGACGGCAGGGCGAGCAGACCGCTCGGACCATCATCGTCATCATCGTCCTCCTCATCCTCCTCGTCCTCCTCCTCATTATGGCCGTTATTGTCATAATGACCATTGTCGTGATTCTCTCCGTCCTCGTTTCTGCCGGTGCTCGCGCCGTCATCGCTAGCAGCGGTATCGTCAGTGCCGTTCATGCTCATGTGCATGTCCATGGCCGTTGAATGGCTCACTATGCTCATCCCATCCTCCTCCCCATCCTCATCCCCATCCCCATCCTCCTCTTCATCCTCATCATCATCCACCTTGTTATCCACAAGAAGCAGCTGGAGGCTGCCTGAGCTGCCCAGAGATTCGGGCAGCGTGGCGAGAGAATAGCAGCCAATGAGCTTGAGCGAGTAGAGGTACGGAAGGTGCCCGAGAGATTCGGGCAGAGAGGTGAGGGCGAAGCAGTTGCGGAGCTCCAATCGCACGAGACTTGTCAGCTGCCCGAAGGAGTCGGGCAGGGATAAAAGTCCGCAGGCTTCGGACTCCTCTGCAAAGCCCTTGTTGTCAAAAACAAATTCTTCAAGCTGATAAAGCTGCCCAAAACATTCGGGCAGATCCAGCATCAACGGGCAGCCGACAATCTTCAGGAACCGCAGGGAGTAGAGCTGACCGAAAGATTGCGGAAGCTCTTTCAAGCTGCCCAGCCACGTTTCACTTGCTGCCATGTTGATGACCATCTCCTCCAATTCTTTCAGCTGCCCGATGCTCTCGGGCAGGTTGCGGACCGACATGCACCAGCACATCTTGAACCACTTCAGGCACTGAAGCTGCCCGATAGATTCGGGCAGCTGGCGTAAACAATCCAGGCTCAGCAGCTCCAGCTCCTCCAATCCAGTCAGCTGCCCGATTTCCTCGGGCAGCGTAGGAAGCTGTAGACAGGAATCGAGCACCAGGCGGCGAAGATTCGAAAGCTGACCGAGGGCAGGCGGAAGAGACCGCAAACCAAGCTTAGAAGACTGATTCATTATAAGCAGCTCCTCTAAGAGGGAAAGACGGGCGATGGAGGCTGGGAGGGAGCGGATGTATCGGCCGGTGCAGAGGGCGAGATAGCGGAGGGAGGGGAGGGCAGTGAAGAGGGTGGTGAGGCCTGCTGGTGTTCTTGCGTAAGAGCGCTCCTGTTGGTGATGGGGGGAGAGGGAAAGAAGAGAGATGGGGAAGTGATGAGAGTATGCAGGAGGAAGGAGAAATCTTAAAAGAATAGCAAAGACTAGCACAAAATACCTAAACAGAATTCTAGGCCATTCCTCAACGGCGCCAACAGCAAGCATACATACTTGCAAGGAAACCCATGGAAGAACACACCACAGGACTCTGAGACACCAGCTTACATTGTAACCAGGGAAGACATCGACATGCAGAGCCTGCAGCTCCAATCTGGATAAAGCAATCATCTCGAAAACATCATCTCCCTCCACCTCCACGCTGTTCCAGGGCAGATACAGCACTGCCAGGTTCGGGTAACAGGCTAGGTACCGAGCCAGCAGAGGCTTGGGGAGCAGGCGGTTCGGGAGGAGGTAGAGGGCTTGCAGCGCGAGGCAGGAGAGGGCGGCGAAGCGTCTGGATAGGACGAGACACGCCGTCCAGTCGAGCGGGTCGGTGAGGCGAGAGAGGATCTGGACGATGAACTCGTCCGGCAGGTCTGATAGCTGGGTGGCTCTTGAGTCGTCTGGTGGGAGCAGGAGGGTGAGTAAGGTGGAGAAATAAGAATTGATTTGCATGATGAATCGTAGGGAGGGGGATTAGAGAGCATCTGAACGATGAACTTGTCCGGCAGGTCTGATAGGTGGGTGGCTCGAGAATCGTCTGATGGGAAAAGCGAAAGAAGGGAGCGAGGAGATGACCGAACAAGAGATGGAAGGAGGAGAAGGATGAGCAACAACACAAGAAAACAAGACAGGAACGAAAAGTGGCAGCAGCGCAATAATGAAGGCTTTCAAGCGGTTGCATCAGCATACCTTGGGCTTCATACAGCTGCCTCTGCTGCTCCATCTTGGCACACAGGTGAGGCCATCTGGTAGGAGACTCCAACGCACCCAGCAGCTTGACACTGTTACACACTATCCTCTCCCACATAAGGCTCACCTTGAGATTCATAAGGCACACATAAGGCTCACCTTGGGCTTCATACAGCTGCCTCTGCTGCTCCATCTTGGCACACAAGTGAGCCCATCTGGTGGGAGACTCCAACGCCCCCAGAAGCTCCCTCATGGGGCTCTGCCCCCCCCACTCCTCCACCCTCCCTCTCCCCTCTGCACCCGTGTTGCTGTTTGCAGCTGCAAAATCTCCCTCTGCTGCCTCTTTTTCTGCTCCAACCCCCCCAACAACTTCCCCTTCTACCACAGCTGGTCCGTCCTTTTCGTTCTCCATCCCTCCCTCCTCTTCTCCCTCTGCTATCCCTCTGTAAATCGAATGCTGCTGCCCACCTGCCATCACCCCACCAGTCGCCATTACTCCAGTTGCAACGCTTCTCGCCCTCTTCCATCCCTCCTGCCGGCACGCCTCCCCATGCATTTCTCCAATCGCCCCCACCGACTTCCCTGCTGTCCCCCCGACCACATCAACTGCACCAAACACCAATGCTCCATTCCCCAACACCCCAGCCACATCACCCACCCCTCCCTCCCTGCCTCCGTCCATTCCCGTTACAACCTCTGCCGCTACAGCTGCCAGGGCAGAAACACCCACACCCTCTTGTCTCCCTGCATTAGAACCGGGAACAGCTCTTCCGGGCTGAGACGCTGCTTTCACAGAGAGAAGAATGTCTTTCCATGTCTTGCCACTGCCAGCAATCCCGTTGGCCTCGCTTGAAGGCACTGTTGCAGCTGCTGGCCCTTGTGTCTGCATACCCTCACTAGGTGGACCCTTCTCCTCTCGCTCCTCCTCTCCCTCCTCCTCATCGTCCTCATCCTCCCCTTCATCTTCCTCCTCTCTCTCCTCCTCGTTTTCTGCATCATCCCCCAGCATTTCCCCCTCATGCCCTTCTCCCTCCATGCCGCCGCCACTGCCCTTCGTTATAAGCACATCCCCCGCGCCTCCCACCATCCCTCCTGGTGATCCCACCATTATCTGTCGATCCAACGACCGAGATTTGCTGTATCCCCCACTCCCTCCCCCACTCCCCAAACCCCCAACCCCTCCTGCTCCACCTCCCCCTACCTCCCCCATGCCAGCACCTCTCCTCCCCGCCCCCTCGCGGAAATCTGAATCTCTCGACGAATCACGGAACTCGCCAAACCTCGGGTCCCTCGCACCCCCACCAAACCTCACGCTGCTGCCGAACCTCGGCGGCAGCCGTGGAGGCAGGCCTCGGGCCATGGGTGACTGGCTCGGGCTCACAGACGAGGTTCGGATGGGAAAGCCGCTAGGATAAGCCCCCGGAGAGGCGGAATAACGTGGGAGGTTCGGCGAAGGGGAGCGGCGGCGCTGAGGGGAAACTCCTGACAAGGCTGCTGCTGCCACTGCTGCAGCATCAAATGCCCGGAACCTACTAGGGCTGAAGCTTCTTCGGGGGCGAATGGGGCTCACGAGATGGGTGGAGGGGCAGCGAGTGTAGCAGGGGAGATGGGCGGATGGGGAGTGAGGGATGGAGCGCGGTGACGGGGAGTAGGGACGGTGGATGAGGCGTGGGGAGGGAGCAGGGTAGTGCTGCTGCTGCTGCTGCTGGATGCTCTTGTCATTGCCGTACAGCGTGGTGGGTTCACCATTGCTATTAGATTGGCCTTGACTAACATTGTTACCAGAGGTAGCACCAGTGGAAGCAAGAGCAGCCAGGGCCTTCACACGGCCCTCACCAGCGTCCAGAGAGGAGTCCTTTGGAGCACTGTCAGCAGTTTCAGCACTGTTATTGGCAGCAGCAGAGGCAGCCAGAGCAGCGAGCTCTCTCACTCTCCCCCCAGCAACATCCAGAGAGGGGTCATTTGAAGCAGCACTGGCGGTTGCACTGCTGTTGGCAGCAGCAGAGGCAGCCATAGCAGCGAGCTCTCTCACCCGCCCCTCTCCAACCTCCAGAGAGACCAAGTCCTTTGAAGCACCGCCGGTGCTTTCAGCACTGTTGTTTGCAGCAGCAGAGGCAGCCCGAGCAGCAAGAGCCTTCACACGCCCCTCTGCAAAATCAGGATTCGCCACACCTTTAGGCGTTGCACTGACAGAGTCAGCAGCTGCCACAGAAGCCACCACAGCAGCAAGAGCCTTCACACGCCCCTCTGCAACATCTAGAGCCGCTGCCTCTTCAAGGGGTGCAATGGTGGTATCAGCAGCAGCAAGAGCAGCCACAGAGGGAGCAAGAGCCTTCACCCATCCCTCAGCAACGTCTCCAGTCACCACCACCTCTTTAGGGGGTGCACTGGTGGCGTCAGCAGCAGCAGTGGATGCCACCGCAGCAGCCAGCGCCTTCACCCTCCCCCCAGCAATATCTAGACCCGGTGACTCTTTAGAGGGTGCACTGGTGGTATCATCAGCAGCAGGAGCAGCCGCAAAGGCAGCAAGAGCCTTCACACGCCCACCAGCAACATCTAGACCCGCTGACTCGTTAGAGGGTGCACTGGTGGCACCAGCAGCACCCACAGACGCCACCACAGCAGCCAGAGCTTTCACATGCCCGCCAGCGATATCTACAGCCGCCGCCGCTTTGGGGGATGCACTGGTGGCGTCAGCAGGAGCAGCAGTTGACGCAACCACGGCAGCAAGAGCTTTCACATGCCCGCCAGGAACATTTATAGTTGCTGCCTCTTTCGGGGCTGCAGCTGTGGTGTCAGGAGTTGCAGACGCCACCACAGCAGCAAGAGCCTTCACACGCCCCTCTGCAACATTCAGAGTCGCCGGTTCCTTAGAGGGTGCACTGGTGGCGTCAGCAGATGCAGATGAAGCCACCACAGCAGCCAGTGCTTTCACCCTCCCAGCAGAAACGTCCACAGTCGCAGCCTTGTTAGAGGGTGCACTGGTGGTATCAGCAGCAGCAGACGCCACCACAACAGCAAGAGCCTTCACACGCCCCCCAGCAACACCTAACGCCACCGCCTCTTTAGGGGATGCAGTGGTGGTATCAGCAGCAGTAGCAGTAGGCGACAGCATAGCAGCAGCAAGGGCCTTCACACGCCCCTCACCCTCAGACACATTCAGCAGCAGGGGGTCTTTGGCAGAATCACTGCCTGCTTCCTCATCCGCTCCTCCTCCTGCCTCAGCTGGGCTCTCCTCAGCTGGAGTGTCCTCGGTTGGAGCATCCTCAGCGGGAGCATCCTCAGCCTCCTCCAAGTCCCAAGACTCATCGCCCCTGATCTCCATATCGGTGTGCTCTGTCTCGTGCTCTACCTTCTCATTCTCCTCTTCCTCCTCACCTGGGCCCTCCTCAGCCTCCATGTCCCAAGACTCCTCGCCCCTGACCTCCATATCCGTGTGTCCTGCTGCGTTCTCCTCCAGGTCCTCCTGCTCTACCTCCTCCTCCTCTTCCTCCTCATTGCTCTCATCGTCCTCCTCAGCTGACTCCCCTTCACCTGGACCCTCCTCCGCTCCCTCCATCTTCCAAGTCGCCTCGCCCCCAACCTCCATATCTTCGTGCTCTAAGTCCTCCTGCTCCTCATTCTCCTCGTTCTCCTCCTTCTCTTCCTCCTCCGCGCTTTCCTCATTCTCTTTTTGATCCACTCCATCTACTTCCTCCTGTGCATCCTCCTCCTCCTCCTCCTCTCCCTCGTCTCCTCCCTCTCCCCCTGCTTCCTCCTCCTCCGCCGCCTCTCCATACTCTTCCTCCTCCCCCTCCTCTTCTTCCTCTTCCTCTTCTTCTCCCTCCCCTTCCTCTGCTCCACCCTCACCCTCCTCATCATTATCATCCTCTTCCTCCTCCTCCTCCTCCACCTCCTCTTCCTCCTCTTCCTCCTCTTCCTCCTCTTCCTCCTCCTCCTCTTCCTCCTCTTCCTCCTCGCTACCACTACTATCCAGCAACGAAGGCTGCTTTCGTTCCTTCACCATACTGCGACTCAGCCCCAGGTTAAAACCACCTCCTCCCGCACGCCCCATGCTGTCCCGAACCACCATGCTCCGACTCCCCAGCCCAGCACTCCCCCCTGTGAGCCCCATGATCTCCCGAGTCACTGCACTGGCCGGCACATGCAGACCCTGTGACGCCACCAGCGACAGCATGCGTGACCGCTGTGACGGGGGGGAGGAGGGACAAGAGACACCGAGAGTGGGAGACGGAAGGGATGGTTAAGAGGGACGCGCAACACCAGCAACCCCCCTGTTAGTCCCATGATCTCGCGAGTCACTGCACTGGCCGAGACGTGTAGGCCCTGTGACGCCACCAGAGAGAGCATCCGCGATCGCTGCAAGTTCGAAGGGAAGATGCGAAGAGTGAGAGAGAGGAGAAATGGTAAACAGGTATCAGCAGCACCAGCACTCCCTCCTGTGAGTCCCATGATCTCTCGAGTCACTGCACTGGCCGGCACATGCAGGCCCTGTGACGCCACCAGAGAGAGCATCCGTGAACGCTGCAAGTTCGAAGGGAAGATGCGAAGAGTGAGAGAGAGGAGAAATGGTTAACAGGTATCAGCAGCACCAGCACTCCCTCCTGTGAGTCCCATGATCTCTCGAGTCACTGCACTGGCCGGCACATGCAGGCCCTGTGACGCCACCAGAGAGAGCATCCGTGAACGCTGCAAGTTCGAAGGGAAGATGCGAAGAGTGAGAGAGAGGAGAAATGGTTAACAGGTATCAGCAGCACCAGCACTCCCTCCTGTGAGTCCCATGATCTCTCGAGTCATTGCACTGGCCGGCACATGCAGGCCCTGTGACGCCACCAGAGAGAGCATCCGTGAACGCTGCAAGGGGGGGAGGAGGGAGAAGAGACACAAAGAGTGGGAGATGGAAGGGATGGTTAAGAGGTACGCGCAACACCAGCACTCCCCCCTGTGAGCCCCATGATCTCCTGAGTCATTGCACTGGCCAGGACGTGAAGGCCCTGTGACGCCACCAGCGACAGCATACGCGATCGCTGCAAGCAATGAAAGGGGGGTAAGGGAAGCAACACGGGTGAGTGAGCATTATGTCCCAGGATACCATACTGCGGCTCGCCCCCAGCCGGCACTCCCCCCTGTGAGCCCCATGATCTCGCGAGTCACTGCACTGGCCGGCACGTGCAGGCCCTGTGACGCCACCAGCGACAGCATCCGCGATCGCTGCAAAGGGGGTGGAAGGGGTGGAGGAAAAGAGCGAGAAGAAAGGGGAAAGGTTGTCACGACATTGGTAAAATGAGGGGGTTGGGACTTCAGGCTATCTACAAGTGGTAAGAGCGAGGAGGTCAGAATAGAGTACGCAGAAACATGCAGCTCACCTTGCCCGGACTGTGAGGATCGGGCTGCTGCCGACCAGCAGCACCTGCCATGGCCGGAAGCGCAATAGGAGCCACTCCTGCTGCTGCTCCCCCCGCTTGCCCCACAGCACCTCCACCTCCTGTCCCAGACGCGCCCGTCCCGCTCCCCTCACCCGCCCCTGCTCCTCCCCCTCCGCCCCCCCCTGTGCCGCCCTCCCCCTCCCCCTCCTCGCGGATGCCCTGGCGGAATCTGAGCTCCCCCAGCACCGCATTGAACCGCTTCATGCTCGCCACACGCAGCCGCAGCGCCCGCTGCTCCTCCGCGTTCCTCTCCTCCTGCTCCTGCCGCTTTATCCTCGCTTCCTCGTCCTCCTCCTCTTCCTTCTCCTCTGGCTTGCTCCTCGGGCTGCTGTTTGTGCTCTCTTTTTCACTTGCCTCCTCCTCCTCCTCTTCCTCCTCCTCTTCCTCTTCTTCCTCTTCCTGCTCCTCATACTCTTCATAGTCCTCCTCCTGCTCCTCCTCCTGTTCCTCCTCCTGCTCTTCCTCCTGTTGCTCCCCTTCCGAATCTTGTCCCTCTGCGCTTTCTCCTTCTTTTCCACCTGCTGCACCTGCTCCCTCCTCTGCCACCTCCTCTGATTTATCCTCGTCTGTGACTTCCTCTGTAACCTCTACAGTAACCTCCTCTTCTGTATACTCCTCTGTAACTTCTACAGTAACTTCCTCTTCAGTGTATTCTTCTGTTACCTCTACAGTTACCTCCTCGTATTCCGCCGTTTCTTCTACAGTCACCTCCTCATATTCTCCCGTTTCTTCCACTTCTACAGTCACTTCCTCATATTCTCCCGTTTCTTCCACTTCTACAGTCACTTCCTCATATTCCTCTGTCACTTCGACTGTCACTTCTTCATACTCCTCCGTTTCCTCTACAGTCACCTCCTCATATTCCTCTGTCACTTCTACAGTCACCTCCTCAGTGGATTCCTCTCCTGCCTCACTCCCTCCTTCCTCCTCTTCCCCTGCACCCTCCTCCCCCTCCGCAGCCTCCCCAGCTTCTGCACCCTCCTCCTCTACCTCCGCCTCCTCATTCTCCAATTCTTCCTCCTTTGTTTCTTTCGTTTCTTCCTCTTCTTTTTCATCCTCCTCGTTTTCCTCCTCTCCTCCTTCTCCACCCTCTTCCCCCTTCTCTTCCTCCCATGCCTCATTCTCCTGCTCCTCCACCTCAGCAAGTGCTTTCGATGCCACTTCAGCAGCCGCTCCCGATGCCACGTCAGCAGCCGCACCCGATGCCACGTCAGCAGCTGCTTCTGCTGTCACGTCAGCAGGTGCTTCCGCTGCCACGTCAACAGGTGCTTCCGCTGCCACCTCAGCAGGTGCTTCCGTGGCCACATCAGCCGTTGCTTCCACTGCCACGTCAGCAGGAGTTTCTGATGCCACCTCAGCAGAGAACTCCTCCACAGCATCAGCCAGCGGACCTTCAGCAGCCGCAGATTCCACACCCTCTGCTCTCATGCTCCCCCCACCCTCTCCTCTGCCTTCAAACTCACCCCCCTCCTCCTCTACCTTGCTAATGACGCCCTCTCCCTGTTCTACCTCTCCCTGTTCCACGGGCACCGAGACAGCAGGTGCTGTGGCAGCTAAGGCCGCAGCAGCCATAGCTGTTGCACCGGCAACGGCAGTTGCACCAGCCACCACAGCAGCAGAGGAAGCACTATCAGTTGTCGCGGCAGCACTCGCTGAATCAGCACTGCCAGCTGTAGCAGCCGAAGCAGCAGCAACAACTGAAGCAGCACTAGCAGGTGTAGTAGCAGCTTCCGCTGCAATGCCAGTTGTAGCAGCTGTAGCAGCAGCACCAACGGAAGCATCAACCTCTGGAGTGCAGGGTTGCTCACCAGGAGACACGGCCAACAGCTGCTGATGCTGCTGCTGTGGAGATCTGAAAGGAGGCACAGGGAGTTTCTCAGGCTGCTGCTGGAAGCGGTTGAGGAAGTCACTCCGCAGTCGCCCCACTGATGCAGTTTGAGTAGGAGCCGGTGCTGCTGCAGTAGGAGAGGCGGCAGATGCAGGGGTCGGTGCTGCTGCCGCTGCGCTTGCCATGCCTGGCCTCCAGGCTCGGATGGGCACGGGCTTGGGCGCAGGTTCGGAATCGGACCAATCAGAGTCCGAGCCTGAGTCAGAGTCCTGATTGGGTCGCTTCATCCATGAGTCTGCAGCGCGAGGCTTGATGGTAACGGCAGGTGCTGTGCGGTGAGGAGGAGTAGAAGGCTGAGGGGAGGAAAGTGGCTGAGAGGAGGAGACGATTGTTGGATGAACAGATGGTTCAGGTAATGACGGTGCATCTGCTGCCATATCAGCTGGTACAGAAGTGGATGGACCTGATGCCACGTCAGCTGGCACAGGAGTGGATGGGCCTGATGCCACGTCAGCTGGCACAGGAGTGGATGGGTCTGATGCCACGTCAGCCGGAACCAGGTCGCCTTGTAACACCTCTCCACCTGAAAATTCACCTGACTGCACCTCTTCCTCTTGCACCGTCTCTGCCCCCTCTCCCTCTCCAACCTCATCCCCAGCAACAACTGCCAGTGCCGTTTCTGCCCCTGTTGTTGTTGCTGCTGCTCCTGGCTCTGCTGCCAAATCACCAGAGTTTTCAGGAACGTATTCATCCTCAGCTGCAGCAGAAGCATCAGCCGCAATATCAGAGTCAACCACACCTGTAACAGTCACAAGTTGAGCAGGAGCATCAGTAAGAACGTGCTGCTGTTGTTGTTGCTGCTCCTGTTGCTGCTGCTCCTGTTGCTGCTGCTGTTCTTGCTGTTGCTGCACGTGCAGGGGTTGTGACGGAGGCTCAGAAACTTGCTGCTGCTGCTGCTGTGGGGACCTAACGGGTGGCACCGAGGGTTGCTCCTGCTGCTGCTGCTCCTGCTGCTGCTGCTGGTGCTGCTGCTGGAAGCGGTTGAGGAAGTCACTCCGCAGTCGTCCCACGGGGCCAGTTTGTGAGGGAGGAGAGGCGGCAAGCGCAGGTGCTACTGCCGCCACACCACTCGCCGCACCTGCTCTCCAGGCTCGGATGGGCACGGGCTTGGGCGCAGGTTCGGAGTCGGACCAGTCAGAGTCCGAGGGTGAGTCAGAGTCAGCCTGATTGGGTCGCCGCATCCATGAGTCTGCAGCGCGGGGCTTGATGGTAACGGCAGGTGGGGGAATTCGAGGTGAAGCCAGGAGGGTGGGAGGCTGGGGGGAGGCGAGTGGGGGTGGGGAAGAGACAACCAAGATACCATCTCCCTTGATTTCCTCCTTAGCCTCTTCCTCTCCTTCCTTCACCTCTTCCTTACTGTCTTCCTTAGTCTCTTCATTACCACCTTCCTCTCTTTCTTCCTTCATCTCTTCCTTACCCTCTTCCTTGGTCTCTTCGTTACCCTCTTCCTCTTTTTCTTCCTTAGCCTCTTCCTGCATCTCTTCCATCCTCTCCTCCTTACTCGCTGCCACTACCTCACTATCCTCTTCCACTCGCTCATACCCAGCCTCTTCTGTACTCTCCTCCTTACCCTCTTCCACTCTCTCTTCCTTACCCTCTTTCACTCTCTCTTCCTTACCCTCTTCCACTCTCTCTTCCTTATCCTCTTCCAATCTCTCGTCCCTACCCTCTTCCACTCTCTCTTCCTTATCCTCTTCCAATCTCTCGTCCCTACCCTCTTCCACCCTCTCGACCCTACCCTCTTCCACTCTCTCTTCCTTACCCTCTTCCACCCTCTCTTCCTCGTCCATCCTTGCTTCCTTACCCCCCACACCCTCGATCGCACCCACTTTCTCTCCCTCTTCCTCTGTTGCTTCCACTCCCTCTCCCTCTCTCGCTTCCACTCCCTCTTCCTTAACCGCTCTCTCCACCTCACCATCTGTCACTATCACTTCCTCTCCCTCATGATCTTCCGCTGACATACCCACTTCCATCACCTCCATTATTGTTGAATCTCCTTTCTTAACCGCTCTGTCCTCCTCACTCTCTGTCACTATCACTTCCTCTCCCTCATGATCTTCCGCTGTTGACACACCCTCGTCCTTCACCTCCAGTATTGTCGCACCCTCTCCCTCTCTCTTCCCTTCTCCCTCCATCATCTGCTGCTGTTGCTGCTGCTGCTGGAAGCGGTTGAGGAAGTCACTTCGCAGTCGCCCCACCACTGCTGGCTGGGCAGCAGGAAACGCGGCAGGCGCAGCTGCCACTGACGCTACACCACTCCCCGCACCTGGCCTCCAGGCTCGGATGGGCACAGGCTTCGGCGCAGGTTCGGAGTCGGACCAGTCAGAGTCCGAGCCTGAATCGGAGGAGTGGGTCTGCTGCTTTTTCATCCATGAATGTGAGGCACGTGGATTGACGGTTATGGCTGTGGTGGGATGTTGAGCTGGAGAGATGGTGGTGGGAGGATGAGAGGATGAGAGTGCGGGTGGGGAAGGGACAGCCAAGGCATCATTTCTCTTTGTCTCCTCCATAGCCTCTTCCTCTCTCTCTCCCTTCACTTCCACTTCTCTTTCTTCCTTAACCCCTTCCTCTGCCTCTCCCGTCACTTCCTCCTCTCTTTCTTCCTTCACCTCTTCCTCTGTTTCTTCCTTACTCTCTTCCGCCCTCTTCTCGGTACCCTCGTCCTCCCTCTCTTCCGTACCTACTTCCTCCCTCTCCTCCTTACTCTCTTCCACTCTCTCTTCCTCTTCCACCCTCTCTTCCTCTTCCACTCTCTCTTCCTCTTCCATCCTCTCTTCCCTACTCGCTTCTTCTCGCTCCTTACCGCCATCTTCCAATGTCTCCTCCTCACCCTCTTCCACCCTCTCTTCCTTACCCTCCTCTTCCTTCTCTTCCTTCCTCTCTTCCTCAAACTCTTTCTCACTCACTTGCTTACCCTCTTCCATCCTCTCTACCTTACCCTCTTCCATCCTCTCTACCTTACCCTCTTCCATCCTCTCTACCTTACCCTCTTCCATCCTCTCTACCTTACCCTCTTCCATCCTCTCTACCTTACCCTCTTCCATCCTCTCTTCCTTACCCTCTTCCATCCTCTCTTCCTTACCCTCTTCCATCCTCTCTTCCTCGTCCATTCTTGCATCCTTATTCCCCACATTCTCAAGTTCAACCGCACCCACTTCCACTCCCTCCTCCTCTGTTGCTTCTACTCCCTCCTCCTCTGTTGCTTCCACTCCCTCCTCCTCTGTTGCTTCCACTCCCTCCTCCTCTGTTGCTTCCACTCCCTCCTCCTCTGTTGCTTCTACTCCCTCCTCCTCTGTTGCTTCTACTCCCTCCTCCTCTCCCCTTTCCACACTTTCTTCCTCTGTTGTTTCCACTCCCTCTTCCTTCACCACCCTCTCCTCCTCACCCTCTGCCATTGCCACTGCAGCTTCATCATCTCCTGTTGACACACCCCCTTCCTTCACCTCCATTATCGCCGTACCCTCTTCCTCTTCCTCTCCCTCCTTCTCTCCCTCCACCTGCTGCAGCTGCTGCCGCTGCTGCTGCTGCTGCTGCTGCTGCTGTGGAGACCCAAGAGGAGGCAAAGAGGGCTGCTCAGATTGCTGCTGCTGCTGGAAGCGGTTGAGGAAGTCACTTCGCAGTCGCCCCACTGCTGCAGTTTGAACAACAGGAGCGGGAGCCGGCACAGGAGACGGTGCTTCTGCTGCTGCACTCGCCATACCTGCCCTCCAGGCTCGGATGGGAACAGGCTTGGGCGCAGGTTCGGAGTCGGACCAGTCAGATTCGGAATCAGAGCCGGAGTGGGAAGAAGGCTGTGCTGGGTGGATCCATGAGTTGGCAGGGCGGCAGGAAACAGATGGAGGAGAGGGGACAGAGGGAACAGAGGGCGCAGGGAGGGGAGAGGGAGGAGAGGGAACAGCAAGGGACGAGGAGTGGGTGGGAAGAGGGTGAACGGTGTCAACGAATGGAGCTCCTGCTGCCATTGCTGCTGCTTGCGTCTGCTCCACCAAGGGGGGTGTTGTCTCATCTTCTGCTGCTTGCCCGTCCTCCCTTGCTCCTGGTGCTTCAGCCACCAGTGCTGCTGCTGCTCCTTCTACTGATTCTCCTTCCAACGCTGCTGACCCTTCCACTGCTTCTTCTCCCGCCACCGCTGCTTCGCCTTCCACCGCTGCTGATCCTCCCATGTCTGCCCATTCAGCTTCTACTGCTGCCACAGGCGCAGGCTCTGACACTTCAATTCTCTTCGAAGCAGCCTCTGATGTGCTCTGGCCACTCACGCTTGCATCACCTGCCGGCACTGCCACATTATCCTCCCCCTTTGCGCCCTCTCGCGCCACACTCTCTCCCTCCACACTCTCTCCCTCCACACTCTCTCCCACTACACTCTCTCCCTCCTCACCCTCTCGGTTCATGCTCTCTCTCTCAAGGTCTCCAGTTTTTTCCGTCTTTTCCTCTGCCCCTGACACACCGTCTCTCTTCACCTTCTCCTCTATCACCTCCACTCTGCTCTCTTCCTCTTCTACCTTCTCCTCTCCGTCTTCTTCTCTTTCCTCCTCTCCCCTCTCCTCCTCTTGCATCGTCTCTGCTTCCTCTTCATTTCTCTCCACCTTTCCCCTTGCCTCGTCTCCTCTCTCCTCCTCTTTTTCCTCTTCCCACTTTCCTTCCTCCTCTTCCACTTCCTCCCTTTCACTTTCCACCTCCTCCTTTTCACTTCCCACCTCCTCCCTTTCACTTTCCAACTCCTTTCTTTCACTTTCCTCCTCCTCCCTTTCACCTTTCTCCTCCTCCCTTTGACTTTCCTCAGCTGTGGCAGGTGAATCAGGTACAGCAGGTGTTTCAAATGCAGCAGATGAATCAGGTGAGTCAGGTGAATCAGGTGCAGCAGCAGGTGAATCAGGTACAGCAGGTGTTCGTGTTTCAGATGCTGCACGTGAATCAGCGCCAGGAGAATCAGATATAGCAGGAGAAGCAGAAACAGCAGGCACCACTACCCTCTCCTCCTCCTCGCTCTCAACTTGAGCCACCAACTCGGAGTCAGACGCAGCCGGAGAGGCAGGGCTGAAAGGAGCAGCTGGTTCAGCTCCGGCAGGCGAAATAGGTGTGGCAGGTGAATCAGGTGCAGCAGGTGAATCAGGTGCGGCAGGTGAATCAGGTGCGGCAGGTGAATCAGGTGCGGCAGGCGAATCAGGTGCAGCAGGTGAATCAGGTGCAGCAGGTGAATCAGGTGCGGCAGGCGAATCAGGTGCAGCAGGTGAATCAGGTGTGTAAGGTAAAGCAGGGAAATCAGGCATTGCAGACGAATCTAATATAGCAGGTGTCACCCCGCTCTCCTCCTTCTCTCTCTCATTTAGAACCACCGAATGGGTGTCAGCGGCAGGAGAGGAGGCAGAGCTGAGAGAATCAGGTGGCTCATCCCCCCCCGCAGGTGAATCAAGCACGGCAAGTGAATGAGGTATGGCATGTGATTCTGGTGCAGCAGGAGAATCTTCCACAGCAGGCGCCTCAGATGCAGCAGGAGAATCAGGCAGAGCAGGCAGATCAGGAGCAGCAGCAGCTTCAGGCACAGCAGGTGAGCCCGACTGGGTGGCAGAGGTAGGAGAGGAGGTAGCACTGAGAGGAGCAGCTGCTTCATCCCCAGCTGGCAAATGAGGTGCCGCAGGAGACTGAGGTACAGCGACTGCAGAAGCTGCGTCCGAAAGTGACTCAGCATGCGACTCAGCATCAGAATGTGATTCAGCATCAGAACATGACTCAGCATCAGAACGTGACTCAGCATCAGAATGTGATTCAGCATCAGAACGTGACTCAGCATCAGAACGTGACTCAGCATCAGAACGTGACTCAGCATCAGAACGTGACTCAGCATCAGAGCGTGACTCAGCATCAGAGCGTGACTCAGCATCCGAATGTGACTCAGCATCATAAGAGCGTGACTCAGCATCATCAGAATGTGACTCGGCCTCCTCATGCTCCTCCTTAGCCTCCTTCACCTCTTTAGCTTCCTCACTCTCCTCACTCTCCCCAGCTTCTTCACTCTCCTTACCCTCCTCACTCTCCTCTCCCTCCTCCGCCCCCAACGGCTCCCTGCCCTCCACTGCTCCCAGCATCCCCTCACCCTCCTCGTCCGCTGCCGCCCCATCCACCCCTGCAAGCACCGCGACAGCCACAACTGCCGCCCCACCCATCGCTATAACCTCTACTTCAACCTCCTGCAGCCTTGCTTTATCATCACTACCCCCATCTTCCTCCGCACTCTCTGCTTTCTCACTCCCCCTCTCTTCCTCCTCTTTCTCTACATCCTCACTCCTTGTCTCTTCCTCCTCCCTCTCTGCTTTCTCACTCCTTGTCTCTTCCTCCTCCCACTCTGCTTCCACACTCCTTGTCTCTTCTTCCTCCCTCTCAGCCTCCACACTCCTTGTCTCTTCCTCCTCCCTCTCAGCATCCTCACTCCTTGTCTCTTCCTCCACCCTCTCTTGTTCCGGTGCAGAGTCAACGTCAGAGTTTGATCCTGGTGGCGATGGCAGAGCTGAAGCTTCACAGTCAGACACATGCAGAGCCACGTCAGCAGCCACATCAGCTTCTGGTGCAGAGTCAACCTCAGAGTGTGGTCCAGATGGGGATGGCAGTGCTGCAGTCTCACCTCCAGCCGCACACGGTGCCACATCAGACGACACGTCAGCAGCCACATCAGCGGCCACGTCAGCAGCCACATCAGCGGCCACGTCAGCAGCCACATCAGTTCCGAAAGAAGAGTCAGACTCGGAGTCTGATCGTGATGGAGATGGCACCACTGCAGTTTCACCTCCAGGCACTCGCAGAGCCATGTCAGCAGCCACATCAGCCACCACGCCAACAGACACATCAGCAGCCATGTCAACAGACACATCAGCAGCCATGTCAACAGGCACATCAGCAGCCACGTCAGAATCAGAGTCAGGTTCAGAATCAGAGTCAGGTTCAGAATCTGGTCCCGAAAATACATCTGCTTTCTCCTGTTCTGCTTCCACCTCCTCGGCCTCTCCTCTCGTCTGCAGCACAGGTGCAACCAACTCACTTGCCAGCAGCAAACTAGCACCTCCAGCTGCATCCAGAGCCACCTCAGCTGCCACATCAGCATCCAACTCAGCTGCCACATCAGCAGCATCTTTGATGCTGGTGGCTGACCCCTCTGGAGAAGATGGTCTGGAATCGCCCTCCACGTCCACATCAGCAGGGGGTGCCACGTCAGGAGCTGATACCACATGTGCAGACTGTTCCTTATCAGCAATCACATCATCACCACCAGCAGGTAATTCTGACTTGTCACCTGCTTTGACCTCAGCTGCGTGCTTCATGTCCACAGGTTGCACCACATCAGCAACTTGCGCCACATCAGCAGCCTGCGCCACATCAGCAGAAGAGTCCACAACTGCAGCGGAATTCAAAGATGCCTGCTGTTGCTGCTGTGGAGGTGTGAGGGGAGCCTCAGAGGCCTGCTGCTGTTGCTGCTCCTCCGGCTGCTGCTGCTGGAAGCGGTTCAGGAAGTCACTCTGCAGTCGCCCCACCGCTGCAGTTTGTGGGGGAGGAGAGGCGGCAGGCGCAGGAGCCAGTGCTGCGCTCGCCATGCCTGCCCTCCAGGCTCGGATGGGCACAGGCTTGGGCGCAGGTTCGGAGTCGGACCAGTCAGAGTCCGAGCCTGAGTCGGAGTGGGAAGAAGGCTGTGCAGGGCGGATCCAAGAGTTGGCAGCGCGGGAGGAAACTGAGGGAGCAGTAGGGGCAGTGGAAACACTAGGAGCAGAAGGAATGGTTGCGACAGTGGTGGAGACAGGGATTGAATGTGTGGCAAGGAGGGCGCTGGACACGAAAGGCTCGTCCGGCACTGCACTGCCTGTCGTGGTGGCCTCTGCCCATGCCTCTGCCTCTGCCTCTGCCTCTGCCTCTGCTGTGCCAGCTGCTGCGCCTTCTGCGATCTCTTCTTCAGTCGACTCAAAGGCCACACCTCCTGCAATGGCAGTGCCCCCTGCTACAGCGCCAGTGCCCTCTGCCCCCCTCTCACCTCCACTCTCACTCTCAGATCCCTTCTTACTTTCATTTTCACTCTCAGATCCCTTCTCACTTGCACTCTCACTCTCAGCTCCCCCCTCACTTTCACTCTCACTTCCAGCATCCCTCTCACTTTCACTCTCACTTCCAGCATCCCTCTCACTTCCACTCTCACTTCCAGCATCCCTCTCACTTTCACTCTCACTTCCAGCATCCCTCTCACTTCCACTCTCACTCTCAGCCCCGTTCTCGCTTCTACTCCCACTCATACTTTCACTCACCCTGTCCCTTTCACCTTCACTCCCCCTCTCACTCACGCTTTCACTCTCCCTATCACTCAGACTGTCACTCTCTGTCTCCCTCTTACCTTCACTCGCCCTCTCACTCATGCTATCACTCTCCCTCTCACTTATGCTATCACTCTCCCTCTCACTCATGCTGTCACTCTCCCTCTCGCTCATGCTCTTACTCTCCTTCTCACCTTCGCTTTCACTCTCTCTCTCACTCATGTTATCACTCTCCCTTCCACTCATGCACTCACTTCTACTCTCACTCCCATCCTCTGCTTCACTCCCTTCTGCATGTGCATCTCTGCCCTCACCCCCCACCCTCCCTTCCGTTACCCCTTTTTCCTCCACTTTCTCCTCCACTCTCCCTTCCTCTCCCTCCTCCACCCTCCCTCCTTCAGCAACACCCTCCAGTTCCTCTCTGTGTGAAGCCTCCACTTCCTCTTGTCCCTGCCGCTCCCTCTCCCCATCCACTTCCCTCTCATCCCGTTCCTTCTCCTCCTCCTCCTCCTGCTCCTCCTTCCTACCCACATGCCTCTCACTCTCATCAGCTGGCAGATTTACTTCTCCTGCCATGTCTGCGCTGCTTCCTTGCAGACCCTCTTTCTCCTCTCTCTCCTTATCCTCTCTCTCCTTATCCTCTCTCTCCTTATCCTCTCTCTCCTTATCCTCTCCCACCTCCTCTCCCCCCTCTTCAGCCTCCTCACTCCTTCCATCTCCATCCTCCATTCTAATCTCCTCTCCCTTGCTAACTTCATCCTCCTGCTTCTCTCCATCCCGCACCTCACCCTCACTCTCTCCATCCACCTCACCAACCCCCTCACTCCCTCCCTCACCCTCTCCCTCACTCTCTCCCTGACTCTCTCCCTCCACTCTTCCAGATCCCACAACCTCCTCCTCCCACTCACCTACACCGGACCCCACATCACTCCACTCCTCGCTCTCCCATTCACCTCCTGCCACCAGCCCATCAGCCTGTGCTGCTGCCACCACACCTCCTCCCACGGCCAGAGCAGCGACTGCCGGCCATGACCTCTGGGCCATGAGCGTTGCCAGAGGCCTTATCGAACCCTCTTCCTCTGCTGCTACCGCTCCTTGTGCTTGCACTCTGCCATCTGCATCATCAAGGCCTATAGACTTCTGAGGCGCCTCAGAAATTTCTACAGCGCCTTGCTCTTGCACTCTGCCGGCTGCGTTGCCAAGGGCCATAGATTGCGCTTCCTCTGATGCTCTTGCATCCTCCTCTCTGGTTTCACCCTCTTCATTCCCTTCCTTCCCACTCCCTTCCTTCTCACTCTCTTCCTTCTCACTCCCTTCGCTTTCACTCCCTTCCATATGACTCCCTCCCTCCTCACTCTTTTCTTTTTCAAACCCTTCCTCCTCGCTCTCTTCCCTCTCACTCCAGTCCTCACTCACTACTCCCTCCCCACCATCTTTGTCTGCCATCATCTCACTCTCTTCTGCCCAATTTACTGCCTCCTCAGCCGTCCTTTCTGTGCTACTCACGCTCAAACCACCAACTTCGGTAACCAAAACACCAGCCTCACTGGTTACTGAATCACCAGCATCGCTGGTTACTGCATCACCAGCATCACTGGTTACAGCATCGCCAGCATCGCCGGTGACCACATCACCGGCTTCACTGGTTACTGCATCACCAACATCACTCCACTCCTCAGATTCCTCCCACTTCTCACCCTCTCCCTCACTCTCGTCCTCACTTGCTTTCTCTTCCTTCCCATCACTCTTCCCCTCCTCATCACTCTCACTCCCCTTTCCTTCTGACCCCTCCTCCACCTCTGTCCCCCTAAGATCTTCCCACTCACTTTGATCCATTCTCGCTTCCGCAGTCTCAGGAGAATTTGCAGCACGCGGATCAGGGCTAGCACCTGAACCAACAGAGACGGCACCTGACGGCAGTGCAACAGTGACAGAACCTGACGGCAGCATAACAGACACAGCACCTGAAGGTAGCACAACTGAAACAGCACCTGAAGGCAACACAACAGAGACAGCACCTGAAGGAAGCACCTCAACAGAGGCAGATCTTTTCTCAGGTGCCGAATCAGGTGCCACATCGGGAGTAGTTTCAGGTGCCATTTCAAGTGCTTTGTCAGGTACCCTATCTGGTGCCGAATCAGGTGCTCTATCCAGTGCCATATCAGGTGAGCTGCCAGCTGGAATCGAACGTGCCTCCAAAACAGGGATCTCACATTGACGTGGAGCACCCGACCCAGCACGTGCCACGTCAGCATGATGCGCATTCGCCACGTCAGCAAGATCGGCAGCAGCAACGGAGCGCGGCACAGCAGCAGAGGTGGTAAGAGCAGGAGTGCGTTGAGACACAGGAACGGCACCACCAAGTGAGCTTCCAAAGATTCGATTTTGCTGAGTCTCTTCCGCCCATGAACCCCCACCAACAGCAGCTCGATCTTGAGGCAGCGCCATAGGACTGGCAAGGGGCAGCACAGAGGAATCACTGCCCGAGGCAAACGCGAAGGCGCTGCTCTGCCCTTGAAGCCCTTCAAGCCCCTCATCCCTTTCCCCATCCTCCTTCTCGTCTTCCTCCTCCGCCTCTTTGATTGCCAGGCCCTCTGCTTCCTGCCCCTCCTGCTCCTCCTGCTGCCCCTGTTGCTCCTGCTGCTGCTCCTGCTGCTGCTGTTGCTGCTGCTGCAGCGCCAGGCTAACCGCAACACTATCCAGAGGCGCACCCATGCCTGCACTCGTTGGGGTGGCGGAGGGCAGTGGGGAGAGAGCAGCGTAGGGGCTGGCGGAGGGGAGAGGGGAGGCGGCGGGGAAGGGGGACTGGGTGGCCGCTAGCTCCATGCTGCTCCACTCCTCCTCGCTCATGTCACTCCACTCCTCCTCCCCTTCGTCCTCTCCCTCTCTCCCTACCTCCTCCTCCTCCTCCTCCTCCTCCTCCTCCTCCTCCTCCTCCTCCTCCTCCTCCTCCTCCTCCTCCTCCTCCTCCTCCTCCTCCTCCTCCTCCTCCTCCTCCTCCTCCTCCTCCTCCTCCCTCTCCAGCTCCTCCTCCCTCTCTACCTCCTCCTCCCCCTCCCTCTCTACCTCCACCTCCTCCCTCTCCTCATCCCTCACCTGCTCCTCCCTCTCCTCCTCCTCCACCTCCTCCTCCCTCGCCCCTTCCTCCTCCTCCTCCCTCTCCACCTCCTCCTCCCTCTCCACCTCCTCCTCACTCACCTCCTCGTCCTCCCTCCCCACATCCTCCTCTTCCTTGACCTCTGCCCCCTTCTCTTTCTCGTCATCTCTCTCCTCTCTCAGCCCCTTCTCCTCTCTCTCTTCGCTCCCCTCTCTCTCGTCCCCTCTCTCCACTCTCTCATCCGCTATCTCCTCTCTCTCCTCACCAATCTCCTCTCTCTTGTCCTCGCTCTGCTCTCTCTCCTCTCTCTCCTCACTCTCCTCTCTCTCCTCTCTCTCCTCTCTCTCCTCCTCGTTCTGTCCGTCCAACTTGACAGCGCCACTGACAGCACCGCTGCAGCAACACTGGCAGCGCCACTGGCAGCAACACTGGCAGCACCACCTGCTATCACACCACTCGCCCCCAGCACCTCAGTCTCATCCCTCATTCCACCCACATTCCACACCTCACTCTCCCTCGTCCAATCACCCGACCACCCCGGCATTCCCACCCCCCCATCGCCCACATCCCTGCTCCAATCCAGCTCCTCACATGCTCCCACATCATCCCCCATCTCATAAACATACGCATCCTCGCCAATCTGCCGAATAACCCCGTCCTCGCCTGTTGCTGAACGTGCCGATTCATCCTTGCTCTTTCCTCGCACACCATCCCCCATCTCGTACACATACGCATCCTCGCCAATCTGCCTCATCACCCCATCCTCGCCAGTCTGCCTTATCATCCCATCGCCTTCTATTGAACGTGACATTCCATCCTTGCCCACCCCTGCCCCGTTCTCAGCAACCGCTCTGCCTGCCGCTGCTGCTGCCGCCGCTGCTGCTGCTGCTACCTCCCTTTCATCCTGGTGCTGCTGCTGTAGCTCACCTGCTTGTTGACCAACCTGATCATTCACCTGACCATCCACCTGACCCTCTGCTCCTGGCACCTGCACCACCTGCTGCTCCTCCCCCAGCTCCTCCGTCCAATCAGCATCCACCACGTGTCCAGGGGCCACCTTCTCCTGCTGCAGAGGAGATACGATGCTGGTAACCCAGCTTGTCCCATCTTCCTCCTCATCACTCTCCACAACACCCCTTGCACCATCCCCACTCACAGCTTCTGGTGCTGGCACTATTCCTTCCCCTTCTTCTCTCGCCTCTCCCTCTGCCTCAGGCCATGCGTCACTCTCACTGCTCCACACATCCACACCATCTTCCTCACGCTCCTGCTCTCCAGCCTCTCGCTCCTCACTCTCCTGCCCTTCCACCCCTCGCTCCTCACTCCCGTGTGCTTGAGCCTCTTGGACCTCGCTCCCTTGCTCCTCGTCACTTAACCCCTCCACCCCACTCCAGCTCTCCATTGCACCACTTTCCACTACTCCACTCTCTTCCACTACCCAACTCTTCTCCACTACCCCACTCTCTTCCATTTCCCCACTCATCCTCTCTTCCTCCCTGTCACTCGCACCACTCCCCGAACCACCGTCATAGCTGTCCCCATCCGACCTAGGGCTGCTGACACTGCTCCTCCTACTTTCCTTGCTAACACTGCTCTCCCTGCTCCTTCCCTTGCTTTTCTTGCTGACACTGCTCTCCCTGCTCCTTCCCTTGCTTTTCTTGCTGACACTGCTCCCCTTGCTTACACTGCTCCCCCTGCTTACACTACTGCCCCTGCTGTGCTTGCTCTTGCTGCCACTCAAACTGCCTGTTGTGCTACCAACTCTGCCCACAGCGGCTGAAGCATCCCCACTCGCTCCACTGAGCGAGTCCTGGGTCGTCTCAGAACGCTCACTAGCAGATGTCTCCTCGCTCTTTGCAGCACTGAACGCATCGCTTTTGCTGCTACTGCTGCGAGCATGGCTGCTTGCACTCCTGCTGTGTGTGCTGCTGTGCTGACTGTGCGAGCTGCTGCGCTGACTGTGCGAGCTGCTACGCTGACTGTGCGAGCTGCTGCGCTGACTGTGCGAGCTGCTGCGCTGACTGTGCGAGCTGCTGCGCTGACTGTGCGAGCTGCTGCGCTGACTGTGCGAGCTGCTGCGCTGACTGTCAATGCTGCTGTGTTGGCTGTGCACGCTACTGCTTACACTCACTGCACTGCTATGTTTGGAACTCGTGCTGCTGTATTTGCTATGGCTTCTGCTGCTTTTCGGACTCTCACTCCCTCCCTCACTCATCCCCTCACTCACTCCCTCACTCACTGTCTCACTCACACCCTCACTCGCTACACTCTCAGTGTCATCCTTCGCACTACTGCCTTCGCTGTGACTTCCACTCACACTATCTTTTCCACTCCCCTCGTTTTCACTAAGGGTCACACTTTCCCCATCACTCTCGCCCTTACTATGCATTTCACTCTCACGCTCACTAACATGCTCACTCTCATGATCACTCACACTCCTCCCCACACTCTCATGCACACTCTCATGCTCACTCAAAGTCTCCTCCACCACTCTCTCACGCTCACTGTCACTCCTCTCTCTCTCACCACTGCTATCAGAACTGCTCCTCATGCTGTTGGCTTTCTCGCTCGCTCGTTCACTCCCACTCTGACTCCTACCACATGCAGCACTGTCAGCAGCGCTGCTTTTGACACTGCCAGTAACACTGCTCGTAGCACTTTCGGTAGCAGTGCCGGTGGCACTGTGCTTGCTCCTCGTTTCACTCCAACTGCCACTATCACTCTTGCTCAAGCTCCCTCTCTCACCTTCACTACCTTCCTCACTCGCTTTCTCACTCGCACCAACACTCGCTGTCTCCACCTTTCTCTCAACCAAATGGTCACTCTGTCGCTCACTCACACTACTCCTCCCCGACCGCTTGCTTCCACCCCCACTCACACTCCCACTCCCAACTCTCCTCTCACTCCCTTCCAAGCTCAGTCCCTCACTCACACTCTCATCCACACTCCCCCTCGCCACACTCTCATCTCTGCTCCTACTGCTTGGACCACTGCTGTGACTCCTCCTCGCGCTCCTGCTCCTACTGCTATGTCTACTGCTGTGTCTGCTGCTATGCCTACTGCTGTTCCTGCTGTGTCTGCTGCTGTGTCTGCTACTGCTTCTGCTTCTGTTACTGCTTCTGCTTCTGCTATGGCTCAAGTGTCTCCTATCTCTGCGTTTGCCACTGCTGATGCTGCTCCCAAGGCTTTCTCCCTGTGACCCCTCCTCACTCGCCTCACTCCTCTCCCTCCTCACCCTCTCTCTCTCACTCCCACTCGCCTCTGTTCCACTCTCACTCCCCTCGCTCCCACTTCCACTGCCACTGCTCCCACTTTCGCTCCTACTCCCACTATCGCTCCGACTCCTGCTCCTGCTCCTGCTTCTGCTCAAGTCAACACTGAAGCTCAGGTCAATACTGCTCACCCCGCTGCCACTACGCCTGCTGCTAACTCCCCCCTGCGGGCTCGTCTGTGCCATTTCCATCTCTGCCACCTCTATCCATCGCTCAATCTCCTTCCTCTTCTCCCCATCCTCCTCATCCTCCTCCTCCCCATAGCCTTCCTCCTCCTGCTCCTCCTCTTCCTCCTTTTCCTCCCCCTCTTCCTCCTCCTCATGCCCGTCTTCATGCTTCCTTGCCTCCTCCCTCAGTCCCTCTCCTCCCTCCTCACTCATTTCCTCTTCCACCCTCCGTCCCTCTCCCACCTCCTCTTCATCATCCTCCTCCTCCTCGTCCTTCGCAGCATGTGTTGCTTTCTTGAACACCACTACCACTCTCTCCCCATCCTCCAAACTCCCCTCCTCGCTAATACCTGCAACCTCCTCCTCTACTTCCTCCTCCTCCTCCTCCTCCTCCTCCTCCTCTACCTCCTCCTCCTCCTCTAACTCCTCTTCCTTCTCCTCCTCAGCATGTGTTGCCTTCTTAAACACGACCACCACTCTTTCCCCATCCTCCAGACTCCCCTCCTCGCTAATACCTCCAACCTCCTCCTCTACCTCCTCCTCCTCCACCTCCTCCTCATCTTCTACTTCCTCCTCCTTCTCAGCATGTGTTGCCTTCTTAAACACAACCACCACCCTCTCCCCATCCTCCAAACTCCCTTCTTCACTATTATCACCAGCAATCAACTCTTCCTCTTCTCCTGCCTCCCAACCCTCCTCCTCACCAGCATAACTGCTTGTCTGGCTGGCCATTTGACTTCCTGTCAGAATCGCATCCCCAACCACACTGCCTAGCAACACGTCATCTTCATCCTCCCCATCATCTTCATCCTCCCTCTCATCCTCCCCCTGGTCCCTCCTCTCACCAGTTCTCGGCCGGTTAAACACCACAACCACCCTCTCGTTGTCCTCATACTCGTTATCAACATCCTCAGTATCCGTATCCAGAGGGCCCTCAGTCAGTGACCCATTCTCAGTCGTGGACTCTCCCACCACCTCCTCTTCCTCCTCATCCGTTTTCCCCTTGGTTGCTGTCTTAAACACCACTACCACCCTCTCATCCTCCTCCTCTTCCTCCTCCTCCTCCTCATCTTCTACCCCTTCCTCCTCCGTTTCTTGATCCTCATACACACTACCATGGATGTCCCCCGAATCATCATTCTCTTCACTATCGTGTACCCCATCAGATAAGACATCAGGTGCCACCGCACCATCATCCCCACCACCAATATTATCACTGTCTGCTCCTGCTTTTCCACTCACCTTGACCCTCTCACCCTCATCCTCCACTCCCCCGACAGTCCCCCTCTCCTGCTCCAAATCCCTTGGCACATCCCACTCTCCACTCTCCTCCTGTGTGCTACGCCCACGTGTCACAATACCAGCACCTGCCACATCATCTTCAGCATTGTACAGCGCGTGCTCACTCAAATCACTCGCCACGTCAGCAGAGTGATCCGCACTGCCCCTATCACTCTCCTCCACGTGGATCTCAGCAGCTCGGGTTGCAGTTTTGAACACCACAACCACCCTCCCATCCTCCTCTTCGTTCTCCTCCTCCTCCTCTTCCTCATGCCCGTCCTCCCTATCCTCAACCTCCAAACCGCCCTCCTCTTCTTCCTGTTCCTCATACTCTTCCCCAACCTTGCCACTCACACTCTCTCCCAAATTGTCATACAATAGCATCTGTGAGTCTTGTGACGCACCACCCATCCGGCCCTCTCCCCCTTATACGCATCCACCTTGCCATTCATATTTATACCCTCCTCATCTATATCCTCATCCCTGTCCTCGTGTGTATCCTCACGTCTCTCTGCATGTCTGTCGGCATGTCTATACCCGAACGCGCCCGCCCCTCTCATCTCCCAGTAATTCCCCATCACCTCTCTCCACACATCCATCCTCGCTTCCCTCTCTTCCTCACCCTCCTCTCCTCCCCTTCCTGCCTCCCGCTCCTCCCTCACCGACCTAAAACTCCCCATACTCCCCCTCAACATCCTCCCTGCGCTCCCAACACTCCCAAAGCTCCCAGTCCTGCCCAGCCCAATGCTTCCAATGCTGCCAGTCCTCCCTACCCCAACACTCCCCAAGCTCCCCACACTGTTATGAGCGGTCCAGAACGGTGACAGCTCACCATCTAGAGCGTCCATCAGGTCTCCCAATTCCGCCTCCACAGACCGGGTGCTCTCTCCCTCACTCACTCCCTCACTCACTCCCTCACTCGCTCCCTCCCCCTCACTCATCCCCAGGCTAGTCACATCACTAAGAGACCCGCCCCTCCCTCGGGATCTGCTTCGGAGGGACGAGACTTCTGAGCCTGACCCCAGGGAAAAAACCTCTCCTTCTCCTCCCCGCTGCACCAGCAGCAGCAACACCACCACCACGAGTGATATCACTAACAGTACCAGCGCCAGCAGAAGCAGCGCCACTGAAACTGGTTGCAGTGGTGGGGGCCCAGAGGACACTCTCCATCCCATTGGAATGCCGGCTGCTAATGCTAGCCATGCTCTGCTGCCTGCTTTGCTGCCTGCTCTGATGCTTGTTCTGCTGCATACCCCACTGTCCACTCTGCTGCTCGCTCTGCTCCCTGCTCCACTTCCCACTATGCCAAGAGCTCGTCTGAGAGGCACGGGTCTTAACACGAAGCCACGGCCTTGCCTCTCCATCCTCCTCCCCCTCCGTGTCTGACTGGGGCAACGAATGCCTCTGATACTTGTACGCGTGGTGATTGTCGTGGTTATGGGGGTGGGGGTGAGCATGGGGGTGGGCGTGGGTGTGGGATTGAGATCGAGAGTGGGAGTGGGAATGAGATTGGGATTGAGAGAGGTTTCGCACATCCCCATCAAAGCTCATTCCCAGAGCATCACGAGCCACAGCCGCTGCCACAGACTGATGAGACCATGACTGTGACTGTAACTGTGACTGTGACTGTAACTGTGACTGTGACTGTAACTGTGGTTGCAGTGGCTTCTGATTTGACTCTAGATTCCCCATAGCCGCCCGTGCCAATGACTGACTGAGAGCATGCGCAAACCTCGCATCGGCTATCCCTGAACGCCCATCACCCACACTCATTCTCCCATCACCCACAATCATTCTCCCATCACCCACGCTCATTCTCCCATCACCCACACTCATTCTCCCATCACCCATACCAGACCTCCCATCGGCCATACCCGGCATGCCCCCACCACCACCACCATCCATGCTGCTTGCTAGACTATCCGCCACACTGCTCCCATCGCCCTCCCCCTCGTTTTTCAGAATTCTCAGAAGCGACACCAGGCTATCCCCCACACTCACACTGCTCCCATCCCCCACACTGCTCCTGTCCCCCACACTGCTCCTATCGCCGTCCCTCTCACTCCCACTCGCCACCACCAGCCTCTGACTCCCCCCCACAACCCCCTCTCCCCCTTCCTGCCACGGCCCACAGGCTATCACTGCTCCTGATTGTTCACTGCCTCCCAGCCCATACTCAATCCCTGCTTCCCCCACATTATCCCCCTCCCCATACCCCATTCCCGCTGCTCCCCCACCCCCCTCCCCATACTGCATCCCTGTCCGTGTACCCTGCTCCCCATACCCCATCCCCACTGCGCCCACACCCCCTTCCCCATACCCCTGCATGACCGCACGCCACACCTCCAAACCGCTCTCCGTCCCAGCTTGATCAGCAGCAGCAAAGTGAGGGTCAGTGACAGCCCACCCCCCAGGGCCGTGGCTCAGGCTGCGACCGTGACTTACAGCCTGCCTGTAATACGAGTGGGAGGGGCTTGCAGCGTGCCTGTGGGACTGGGAGCGCCCTACAGCTTGGGCGTAAAACGCAGCCCCGTCAGTAGGGGGGGCGAAGAAGGCCGCATGCTCAGTTGGTGGGCCGTAAAACGCAGTTGCCCCTTCAACGGGGGTGTAAAACGCAGCCCCCTCAGTCGCTCCACGCGAGTGGCCCCTGCTGACAGCAGCTCTCCCGTGGTGCTGCTGCTGCTGCTGCCTGCTGTTCTCCCCAGCCATGCCGGGCATGGGTGTGACTGTAGCGCGCACACCGGGCATGGGTGTAGCTGTGGCACGCACATCAGGCATGTCGTGCACGCCAGGCATGGGCGTTGCTGTGGCGCGAACGCCGGGCATGGGAGTAGCTGCAGCACGAACACCTGGCATGGGCGTCACTGTCCGGGAGAGCGCGGCAGGAAGCTAAAACAGGAGGAGGCGCAGCAGCAGCAGCAGCAGGTGGATAGGGGGAGGGGTGATGGACACCAGGCATCGGCGTGACTGCCCTGGAGGAGAATGCTGAACCAGCAGCACCAGCAGCACTAGCAGCACTAGCAGCACTAGCAGCACTAGCAGCGGGATGAGGAGGATGGGGAGCAGGTGGAGGAGGGAAGCTTGCAGCAGGTGAAATCCCAGGCATTGGCGTCACTGCCCTGGAGAATGAAGCAGTAGCAGTAGGGGCATTAGGGGCACTAGCAGCACTAGAAGCAGGTGAAATCCCAGGCATGGGCGTCACTGCCCTGGAGAAAGCAGGAGGAGGAGGAGGAGGAGCAGGAGGAGGGGGGAGGCCAGGCATGGGCGTGAGAGTGCGGGAGAACGAAGGAGAAGCGGTTGCAGAGGGAGGAGGCAGTGGAGCCCGCTGCAGGAGAATGGAGACCAGGCATGGGTCTGGTGGCAAAGAGAGAATGTTGCAGGAGCAGCAGCAGGAGCAGCAGGAGAATGCACACCGGGCATGGGTGTTACTGCCCTGGAAGGATGAGGAGCAGGAGCAAGAGCGGCATGCACACCGGGCATGGGGGTGGTGGAACGAGAGAACGCTGCAGGGGCAGCAGCAGAAGGAGGAACAGGAGGAGGCAAAGCAGAAGCAGCATGCACTCCCGGCATGGGAGTAGCGGCACGGGAGGCAAAGGCGGGAGTAGCAGCGGGCAAAGCAGCACGAGAAGCACCACCACCGGGAACGGGATGAGGAGGAGGAGGAGGAGGAGGAGGAGGAGGAGGTAAGCCAGAAGGACGGACACCCGGCATGGGTGTTCCTGCTCGTGAGAACATGGAAGGTGCAGCAGAAGACGGAGCAGCAGCGGCAGCAGGCCCTGACGCAGCAGCACGGATGCCAGGCATCGGCGTCCCTGTACGGGAGCGAGGAGCAGGCACACCTGCGGCAGAAGCAGCATCAGCATCCGCCTCCTTCAGGGCCTCCAAGCCCTCTAGCCCCTCTCCTCCCTCTGCTCCCTCTAGTTCCTCTAGTCCCTCCAGACCCTCCAGTTCCTCCCGTCCCTCTAGTCCCACCAGCCCATCTCCGCCTGTGGCAGCAACAGCATGCCAGAAGGGCAGCGAGTGCCCATCCACAGCATGCATCAGCTCTGCTAGCTCGCCCTCCACGGAGCTCCCCTGCCCACTCCCTCCCCCATCGATCCCCCCCTCGCTCCCTCTATCGCTTCCCCTCTCACTCCCTCCCTCACTCTCCCCCTCACTCCCTCCCTCGCTCCCTCCCTCACTCCCTACCCCCTCGTATCGCAACGCACCCCTGTCACGGCCCTCTCTACTCTCGCTCCTCCCACCCACGCGGACCCCGATCCACGAATCCTCCTCTTCCGTCCCGCCCTCGACTCCACCCCCCCACTTCCCCTGCCCCTGCCCCTGCCTCTGCCCCTGCCTCTGCCCCTGTTGCTGCACCTTCCTCTTCCCCTTCCTCCCCACCTCCTCCCCCTGCCATACCAGGCATGGCCATCCCCTAGACTGCCACTGGAACCCCTCAGGTCATCGTCCCTCAGGGTCATCACCCCTCAGATCGTCCCCTCTCACATAAATATCACTTTCCTCCTCCTCATCGCTCCCCTCCTCCTCCTTACTGCTCCCCTCCTCCTCGTATTCATCCTCTGCCGTTCTTTCCCCTCCATCCTTAACTTCTGGACCTGCATTGTCCCGATTGCCGTCCCCTCACCCAGCCAGCTGTCCTGCTCAACCTCGCCACTCATGCACTGTCGCTCTCCCCCCCTCTCACTCTCCTCCCACTCACTCTCCTCCCTCTCGGTCACACCCGTCTCACTCTCACCCTTCTCACTCCCCCCCTCTGCATCACTTGTTGCTGCCACTACCATTGCACGCTCTCCCTTCAAACCCAATCCTACACCCTCAATCTCCGCCCCCACACCCTCAATCTCTGCCCCCACACCCTCAATCTCCGCCCCCACACCCTCAATCTCCGCCCCTACACCTTCGATCTCCGTCCCTGCTACGTCTGCTGCTTTCCCTGTCGTCGTCTCCACCTCCCTTATGTTCGCCCCTTCTTCCTCTCTGCTCCTTCCTACCCTCTCCATCTCCCCATCCCTTTCAAACGTGCCTTGGTCCTTTACAATCATTCCACTCTCCTCCTCTTCCCCCTCTTCTTCCTCCTCTCTTTGACTCACTTCTGTCTCCTCCTCTTCTTCTCCTCCTTGCTTCTTTTCCACCTCCCGTTGAATCAACTCCTCCCTACTCTCTCCCCCCACCATTCGCCCTATTCTCACTCCTCCCTACTCTCTCCCGCATCCTGCCGCATAGCCACACTCTCTCCCTCCTCCTCCTCGATACTAGGACGGCCATCTGCCTGCTTCCCTGCAGGACTCGCTTTTTGAGACGTCTCCAAAGTCATTACCGCTTCAGCTCCCCCAGCTTTCTTCGTCTCCTCCTCCACCTCCTCCTCTTCCTCCTCCTCTTCTTTTTCCTCCTCTTCCACCTCTTCCTCCTCTCCACCCCCCAGCGACTTAACAGTGTACCAGCGGAGCAAGCTCGACACCACAGGACCTTCCGATGACCTGCATCCGAAAAGAAAAAAGGTATTTTTTTAATATATATTTATATAAATTACCGACCAATTAGTACCCAAGACTGAATTGAAACTTCTGGGCTGACTGTAAAAGGAAGACGAAAAAACGAAACTGAGACACAGAAGAGAAGAAAAACAACTGAGACGAAGTAAATACATAAACTCGGATCTTTTTTTTTCTGAAAAGGGGTAGACAGGCAACTCACTCCAGGAGACCATTGGTGAGAGCAGCTTCCTCCAGCATCTTCATGCGCTGATGGGTGTGAAGGAGGAGGGAGAGGCAGGGGAGGGTGGGGAAAGGGCGGGGAGGGTAGGAGGGATTTCAGCAAGAAGGAGATTATTGGTGACAGCGGCTTCTTCCAGCATCTTCATGCGCTGATGGGTGGCTCGTGGGAGGGAGGAGGAGATGAAGGGGGACGAGGGGGGAGGGTAGGAGGGGAGGGGGTAGGAGGGAGTTGAGGCAGGGAGAGAATTGGATAGAAAATCGGTACAGCACGTATGAAGCTGAAGAAGGCCATTGGTGAGAGCGGCTTCTTCCAGCATCTTCAATGCGCTGATGGGTGGCTCATGGGGAAAGGATGCGGGGGAAAAGGGAGATCGATTGTTCAGCAAGAATAGTGGTCGCTGGTCAGAAAGATTCTAAAAGAAAGAAAAGAAGCTGCTTCTGCCAGCACTGCTACCACCCACCATTGTTGCCAGCAGCACTAGCAGAACAAAATCGACACCAGCACTGCCAGTCTGCCAGCGCCACTCACCACAGCCTCCTCGTGGCTTCAGAAGCAGAGAGGGCAGGTCGAGAGGCAAACAGTGTAAAGAAGCTGCTCCTGCCACCACCCGCACCAGCACCGCCTCCCTTCCCTCCCTGCGTGAGAGTGGCAGCAGCCCAGCCGAACCACCCCGTGCGACGCTTAGTTAAGTCCCTGCCTGGTTGCCATGCTATGGGGGTGCTGGCAGGTTGAGAGGAGAGGCAGAAGGCATGGGAGTGAGGCGAGCAAAGATAGGAGATGCCGAGGTTGACGGAATGTCCGAGGAAAGGCTTGGGATAATGATGAAAACGGGCAACAGATATGGTGGGTGGAGTGAAGGCCATATCACATGGCAAGGAGGGGATTCACATTCAATGCTTGCTTATATTGCAGCATATACCAGAGATAAGACATGATGATTAAGTCATCATTCATTCATATCACACGTACCAGTGAATCGACATGATGATTGGGTCAGCCTTGGGGTTTCTCGCTACAGCAAAGACGCGGCTCAGCTGCACGCGATAAGGGGTTTCGGGTTCAGGGGTTGGGGATTCGGGATTGAGGAGGATCGAGGGTTTGGAGTTTAGCGTAGGGGGGTCATACCAAGCCAGATCAGACTCGAATTTTCGGAAGCAGGAAAAGCACTGGCATGAAATCAAACCGAATGAGGAAGAACAATGGGCAAAATCTGAAACGGCAGTAGACGTGCATGAAGGTAGGTAGGCAGGTAGGTAGGGCATACGTATTCATTGGTGAAGAACGGATTGGCGTCAAAGAGAAAGTCCACGCGGAAATCCTGGAGACAGGTGATAAGGACAGTCACAGTAATACAACCCAAGCAATAGTTGCATCTGAAAATGCAAGGGTGCGGCGGCAAGGTTTGGTTGAAAAAAAAAAAAAAGCGCGACGTCACACAACATTCTGTCATGCCTCACAAACACAGCCATAAATCATGGTGCCCAAAACCCGAAACCCGGAAACCCGCGAAGCCTAAACATCACACACCATGCTGTGTTTGCGACTTGTAGAAGTCCACGGAGCACAGGAACTGCAGCGCACCCATGTCCTGCTCCGTCATCTGCAAAGCGGCAGACAAGAAAGAATCAGGCAGGTTGGGAAGTGCAGGGAAGGTGAAAGATCAGGCAGCTGTGATGCAGGGGCCCACGGAGCATAGGAACTGCAGGCCACTGCAGCAGTGCAGTGCAGTGCATGGCACCAGTTCCGATGGCACCAGTTCCGATGGCACAGTTCCGACAGCACTGCATGGCACCAGTTCCGACAGCACTGCATGGCTCTGCAGCACCTTCAGCCATGTTCTGCGCTGCAACCGACTAGCTTGACACTTGTTACATCACTCTGGACACCCTTACAAGTCTTAAAACCATACCATACCACCCAGCAACCACACACTCACCAGTTCTGACAGCACCGCATGGCTCTGCAGCACCTCCAGCCACGTCCTGTGCCGCACCGGAGTCACCGGCCTCGCGTCGGGTGTCCTTGCCATCAGTGCTGCCAGCGACACGTCAGCAGCCTTTGCTGCAGCAGCAGCCTTGGTCACGTTAGCCAGACTGTGCCACGTCAGCAGGTTTCACCACGTCAGCAGGCTTTGCCACATCCGCAGGCTTGGCAGCTGCTGCAGTAGCAGGCACTGCTGCCTGCTACTGCCACTGGCTCTGCTGGTGCTGCCACTGTTACCGAGGCTCAGCTGCTGATGCTACTGCTGCTGAAACTGGTGCTACTGCCACTGCTGCTGCCCGCTACCAGTGCAGGTGCTGCTGGTGTGCCATCTCCAGCTGCCACTGACACAGGCACTTCCTCTTCTTCCACTTCCTCTTCAGATTCTGCCGATACTTCACTGAGATTTTCATCAAGACTCAGAGGTGCTGCTGCTGTCACTTTTTCAGCTGCCATTGACACAGGCAATTCCTCTTCTTCCACTTCCTCTTTGGACCCCGATTCACTTCCACTACCACTGAGCTTCTCGTAGTGGCTCTCATCCTTCACACTCACCATTCCCTCACTCGCAGCCTCCTCTCTCTCACTTCCACTCCCGACGATACTCCCTCTTTCACCACCCAACCCCTCCCCGCCGCTGATATGTTCGCTCCACACACTCCCCTCACTCTCATTTTCTTCCACTTCCTCACTCTCCTCGCTCCCCTGTTCTTCCACTCCCTCACTTCCCACGCTCCTGTCCGGCTCGCTTCCTTCCCTACTGCGTGCTCCCTCTGCTTCCTCTTCTCCCCCTTCAAGAATCACATCTTCTTCTCCCAGTATACTCCCTCCTCCCACCACACTCTCCCCTCCAAACACACTCCCTCCACCCGCCACACTCTCCCCCCCAGCCACACTCTCCACCTCTATCAGCAGACTGTCTACCCTCACTCCCTCACTCCTCCCCACCACACTCCCCCTCCCCACCACACTCCCCCTCCCCACCACACTCGCCACACTCGCCACCTCTATCAGCACCCCTTCCTCTGTCACCACACTCTCTCCATCCACCTCCAACCCCACCCTTTCACTCCTCCCATCTGCTTCTGTCTCTGTTTCTGCCTCGGTTTCTGTCTCAGCATATGTTGAACCCGCCGCTCCTCCCTCCCGTGCCACACTCATCGTTCCTACTGTACTTAGTTCCTCACTCTCACTCACTCCACTCTCACTCTCTCCACTCTCACTCTCTCCACTCGCACTCTCCCCACTCTCACTGTCCCCACTCTCACTCTCCCCACTCTCACTCTCCCCACTCTCACTCTCCCCTTCGCTCGACCCATCCTCTTTCTCTGACTCCTCTCCCTCACTCCCTGAGTAGCTGGATCGGGTCACTGCATCTGTCTCGGTCACACTACCCTCACTCTCCTCCCCGCTCTCCTCCCCACTCTCCTCCTCACTCTCCCCACTCCCTCCCTCACTCTCTCCCTCACTGCTCCCTGTCTCCTCACTGCTTCCCTCACTTCCTTCCGCGCTCAGACCACTTCCTCAACACTTTCCCCCTCACTCTCAACATCACTCTCAGCCTCACTCCCATAATCACTCCCCCCCACACTGCTCCTGCTCTCTTCTCCACTACCACTCACACTCTCCGCCTCACTCGCCCTTGCATCCCCTTCACTACCCTCTCTCTCTCCCTCACCCCCTTCTCCCTCAAATGCACTCCCCTTGTAACCACTATCCGCCACAAAAACTCTCCTCCCTCCCCACTACCCCACACTCACTACCCCTCCCAGGCAGCTGTACCGGGACTTTCATCCTGACCACCTTCCAAGCCTCCCTCCAAACCTTCTTCCAAGCCTCCATCCGAGCCTTGTTCCGAGCTCCTTGTAGCCTCTTTCTTTGTCGCATGCTTGCAAGCACCCATGCCTTGTCGCTACCACTCCTTCCCCTCTCTCCACACCCCTCTCCACCCCTCTTTCCACCCCTCTTTCCATCCCTCCTCTTTCTGCACCAACTGCCGTTTGATACAGCTTTCTCAGGTGACTCATTCGCCCTGGTTGACTCTGTTTGACTCCCTTGACTCGGGCCGGCTGGAGCCCTGAGAGCTCCCTGCACCACCGGGGACTAAGGCCGGAGGGACCAACCCTGCACCACCACCATACTTGCCTTTCCCACTCTCATCAACATCGGCATCAGCAACAGCACAAGCATCAACACCAGCGCCGGCATGAGTAGGAGCGTCAGCATCAGCATAGGCATCGTGCCTGGATCCAGCCGACATGGTAATCAGAGTCAGCCGACAATCCATGCACCAGAGCGCCTACGGGGAAAACCCCATCCCGGGCCCCTTCAGTCCTTTCGTCCCCTTCAGTCACTTGAAGCCCTGTGAGTCTTTTTAGGCACCTGTGCTGGCAGCGGCTTCTGAGCTCGTGGGTCCAGAGGGTGGAGGACTGCAGGAGAGGGAGCAGCAGTAAATTGGGGGCGATGAGAGGCTTTAGCATGGGTGGTGGTAGGAGCGGCTGTAGCAAAGGTGGTGGGAGAGGCTGTTGTAAGGGCAGGTGGAGAGGTTGTAGTGTGAGGAGGCACGGAAACTGGATGTGCACGTGGGTCCATTGGGTGGAGGATAGAGGGGATGGGTTCAGGGGGGTGAGACAAGGGAAGGGGAGAGAACTCTGGGGTGGATGGAGAAGGGGAATACTGGGGAGGAGGGGGAGGATGCTGGGACGGATGGGGTGGGTAGTGAGGAGGAGAAGACTGGTGATAAGGTGTGGGGAGGGGAGGTGCAGGAGCAACAGGGGGAGCGGTCTTCCTTCCAACAGCAGCAGCTGCTGCTACTGCAGGGGCTCGTGCAGGCTCTATAGGTGCAGGTATTGCTGCTGCAGGTGCTACTAGTGGTGGTGGTGCTACTGGTGCAGGCACTACTGGTGCAGGCACTACTGGTGCAGGCGCTACTGGTGCAGGCGCTACTGGTGCAGGCGCTACTGGTGCAGGCGCTACATGGTGCAGGCTGCTACTGGTGCAGGCGCTACTGGTGCAGGCGCTACTGGTGCAGGTGCTACTGGTGCAGGTGCTACTGGTGCAGGCGCTACTGGTGCAGGTGCTACTGGTGCAGGCGCTACTGGTGCAGGGTGCTACTGGTGCAGGCGCTACCATAGGTGGGGCGACTGGCAGCGGTACAGCTGCTGCAGGCCCTGCTGCTGCTGAAGGAACGACCGGCTCTGTAACAGCTGCAGCAGCGGCAGAAGCACCAGCAGCACCATCAGCAGCCATCAGCGGGAGCGGCAGTGGCAGCAGTGGCAGGCGAGGTACCCCAGAGGGGACGGAAGAGGGAGGTCCACGCAGAAGACGCCTCGGGAGGGAGAGGAGCTGGTACTAGGCTTGGGAGAGACGGCTGGGGACACTGCTGGAGATGCAGCTAGGGTTGCAGCGGAGGTGCCGGCAGGGGGTGCAGGTTGGGCACTAGCAGGGGAGGCAGCTGGAGGAACAGCAGGGGCTAGGGCAGGAGAGGCGGCTGGAACAGCCATTGGATGGCTTGCCAGTAGGCACCACTGCAGCAGCTGCTGCTGATGAAGCTGCTGCTTGTGACGTTGCTGCTTCTGCTGTTCCAGGTGGACGCTGCTCCTGATTGGTCAGCAGCCTCGTAGTGTAGTGCTCGCTTTCTTGCACTGGTTGGGGACCTGCAGACAAGAAGCAGCAGCAGAGGCAGCAGGAGGGGCAGCAGGAGGGGCAAAGCAGCCGGAGCCAGCAGGAGGGACAACAACCGAGGCAGCAGCAGGAGGGGCAACAGTCGAGCCAGCAGGAGGGGCAACAACGGAGGCAGGCAGCAGCAGGAGGAAGAGGAGCGGCAGAGGCAGCAGGGCCAGGCGAAGACATGCAGGTGCGGCAGCAAGCACAGGCGAAGCAGACACAGGCGCTCCAGGTGCAGAAGCAAGCAAGCGCAGCAGAAGCAGAACCAGGGGATGATGGCCGGTAAAAGGGAGAGGGAAACTCACCTGTAGGCCGAGGGCCAGCCATATCAGACGCGCTAGTGGTAACGGCGATTGCACTGTGGGGGGTAGACCCTCCAGAGGACCCTCCCCGTGCTCTGTGGAGTGCTGGCAGCAGACCCAGTCGCTTGGGCGAAGGGGTGGGGCGAGGCGGAGGAGGAGGGGCGCAGGGGGCTGGGGGCGCTTGAAGGAGCGGCGCAAGGCGAGGGAGGGTGGAGACGGCTGAAGAGAGGGCGTGGTGGGCGGCTGTGGGTGGTGGAACCTCTGCGGGGGAGCTGCTGGAAAAGCTGGGGTTGTGGGGGAAGCTAGAACTGCTGGGACTGCTGGGGTTGCTGCGGGTGCTGGGATTGCTGCGGCTGCTGGGGGTGCTGGGGGTGCTGGGCCAGTTAGGGCAGGTGGGGCAGGTGGGGGCAGGTGGGGCAGCTCGAGCTACTAGAGCAGGTGGGGCCATGGGGGAAGCTGCAGCAGCTGCAGTAACTACTGCAGCAGCGGGCACAGCAGCAGAAGCTTCATCTTCTGATGAGAAACCGTACTCCTCCTCCTCTTCCCTTTGCCCCTCCCCCTCCTCCTCCTCTTCCCTTCCCCCTCCCCCCTCCTCCTCCCCTTCTTCTGAATCATCCTGTTCCTCCTCACTGCGTGCACCCAGGCTTCCCTCCGAACCACTCCTAACCGAATCCCTTGCTTCTTCCTCCACCCACTCCTCCTCCTCCTCCTCGTGCCTTCCTCCTTCGCTCTCACTCTCCCTCTCACTCTCTCTCTCACTCGCACTTCTGGAACCATACTCATCCTCCTCTTGCGACTCTTCCCCTCTCTCACTCGCCCGACTCATACTCCTCCTCACCCTCCCCACTCTCCTCCTCCTCCTCTCCTCCCATCTCCCACACCCACTCCACTCCTATCAGACCCCCAAAATCCCTCACTCCCCTCCTCACGTCCCCTCCTCACTCCCCTCCCCACTCCCCTCACTGCCTTCAGACTGCCCGCTCCCCTGTGAATCCTGCTGCGACAGAACCTTCAGCTGCCCCTTCAGCTGCCCGAGCACTGCATCAACCGCCTCTTGCTCTCTGCTCGAAGCATCTTTGCCGCCCTCTCCTCCTCCTCGCTCCCAAAACTCTCCCCTCCTTCTTCCTCGGTATCATCCTCTCCCTCTGACATCCCATCCTCCTCTGACCTGTCACCCTCTGACCTATCCCCTTCTGAACGCCTGTCACTTTCTGTGCTTTGCCCTGCTTCTGAGCTCCTGTCGTCTGTAAACACACTCTCCTCCTGCTCCTCCTCTTCGTCTTCTTCCCCTTCTGATTCCCCTCTCACTTCTGACCTCCTGTCGCTCTCTAAACTCCCTTGTCCCTCTGAGCTCCTATTGTCTGTAAACACACTCTCCTCCTGCTCCTCCTCCTCCTCCTCTTCATCCTCATCCTCAATTGAGCTTCCCTCCTCCTCCTCCTCCTCCTCCTCAGTTGGCAGTAACACCCTCACTGCCTTCCTCCTCATCATCATCCTCTTCCTCCTCCTCCTCCTCCTCCACCTCCTCTTCCTCTGACTAGGCTCTTGGGAGCTACCCCCCACCTTCACAGTGAGGGGTCTCTTCCATCCAGGCGACCGCATCGCCATCCGCCAATGACGCAGCGCCACCTGTTGGCGTCCCAAGCTGATGGCTGGGGCTAGCAGCACCACTTGCAGTAACATTAGGCAGCACCAACAGCAGCATTATTCGCACTCCTCACACTCTCGCTCTCTTTGCTCCCTTCACTCCCACTATCAATATCGCTGTACCTCTCACTGCCCTTCTTGCTGAATCCCTCACCCTCCTCCTCAGACCCCTCACCCGTACCCTCATATTCCGAATCGCTCTTCTCTGATTCGCTTCCCTCTGACTTGCTCCTCACCGACCTGCTACCCTGCGACCCACTAGTACGAGACCTACTAGCTTGAGAGCTGCTCACACGAGACTTGCTAGAGTGGGATGTACTAGCAAGGGACTTGCTAGCATGAGACCCACTCCCATCAGACCCACTCTTGCTTCCCAGCCGAGACTGGCTTCCCACTGATCCCTTACTGAGCGCCTCATTAGGAGGCGACTCTGTGCCCGGGGACTGGCTTGCAGCAGAGGGCCTCCGGCTTGCTTCAGAGGGGCTGCAAGCTTGCAGCAGTCCCGTTTTTTGCTCGCTCCCGCTCCTCCTGAAGCATCGGATGCTGACCTGGAACGGTGCGATGCTGACCTGGAATGATGTGATGCTGACCTGGAAGCATGTGATGCTGACCTGGACGCGTGAGAACCTGACCTGGACATCTTCTCTGACTCTGATTCGCCAGATTCCGATCCTGAAACCTCTGAAGCAGACGCTTGGGTGAGTGTAGTATGAGGGCTGGTTGTGTGGGAACCAGAGTGGATGCTTCCTTTCTCTGAGCCACCTTCAGACTCGGAAACCCTCACTGCTCTGTGAATGGGTGTGGGAGTGGGAGTCATATGTTCCAGACACTGCTGAGGCTGTGACTTGCACTCTCATCGCCATCACTCTCACTACCCTCACTCTCACTCCCCTCACTCTCATCACTTCCACTCCTGCTGCTCCCTCCACTACCACTCTCCTCACTCCTACTCTCCTCATCCCCACTCCCCCTCACTCCCACTCTCCTCGCTCCCACTCATGCCCGACTCACTTGCCTCCATCTCTGTCCCATCTGTATCACTCTCCCATACTCTCACTCCCCGCTCTCTTCCTCCTACTCATCTCACTCCTCCCCATCTCACTCCCAATCTCACTCATCCCTCGCACGCTCGACAAGTCTTCCCGGGTCCCACTGGTTCGAGACCCTGTTACAGTCACCACCTCTATAAGCACAACATCATCACTGTACCCTCCTCTGCTCCTGCTCGCTGCACTCCTGCTCACCGCCTCACTCCCCTCCATACTATCACTATCCTCCATAGTATCACCATCTTCCACACTCTCTGTCACAATCACTCCCTTCGCTCTCCTCACTCTCTTCACTCTCCTCACTCCCCTTGGATAAGCTATCTTCCTCATACGAGCTACCATCCCTCTGACTGCTGTCCCTGTCACTGTCTGCCCTCCTATACGGCACCCCTTTCACTATCACTCGGAACATCAGTTCCCTCCGAAGTCAAGGTTCTATCTGCCGTCCCAGCAGTCTCACTCCCCTCCATAGTGCCACTCCTTTCAAAGGTCTCACTCCCCTCCATAGTCTCCACTCCCCTCCATTGTATCACTGCCTTCGTAAGTCCTAGTCTCCCCGAGGGTTTCAAACGTGTTGGTTCTCCCCATAGCCTCACTTCCCTCCATAGTGTCACTCCTCCCAATAGTACCACTCCCCTCCATAGTGCCACTTCTCTCTATAGTCCCACTGCCTTCAAACGTCTCAGTCCTCCCCACTGTCTCAAACGTGATACTTCGCCCATTGCATCCGTCCCCTCTATAAGCTCACTCCCCTCAATAGTCCCACTCCCCTCCCTAGTCAACGTCCTTCCCAGCATCTCACTAACAGCTGTCTCGGTCTCTTCCAGGGTGAAAGTCCGCTCCATAGTGTCACTCCCGCCTGGAGTCACAAACCTCTGTCCCATCCAGCGTTCTGTCGTCTATTGTGCCGCCCACAGTGCCATCCATTGTGCCATCCAATGTGCCGTCCCATGTGCCATCCAAAGTTGTGCCATCCTCATCATCACTCGACCCTGTCTCCTCACTCCCCGTCGCTTTCACTCGAACCACTTTCCGTCCCCTCACTCTCACTCTCCACCTACCTCACTCCACTCTCCTCCTCACTCCGCACTCTCTTCCTCACTCCCTCTCTCCTCCTCACTCTCTTCTGTCTCACTTCTCCCCACTCCCCACGTACTCAGTCTCTCCCTCGTCTGAACCTCCCCACAGGGCTAAGGCTTGACTCACTGCCCTCCTCACTCTCCTCCTCACTCCCCTCCTCACTCCCCTCCTCACTCCCCTCCTCACTCTCCTCCTCGCTCCCCTCACTCCCTCCAGAAGCACCACTCTCCACCGCACTAAATTCCCCATCTTCTCCCTCCTCCCTACCTACCTCATCTCACTCCCTTCTGTCCCACTCCTCCTCCCCTTCACCTCCCTTCACTCTCCCCCTCACTCTCTCCCTCAGCACTTCCATCAAACCCACTTCCCTCCTCACTCTCAGCCTCCTCACTCTCTCCTTCCATCCCACTCCGACCCTCACTCCCATCCTCCTCCCCACTCTCCCCTCCATCCCACCCCTCACTGCCAACCTCCCCCCTCGTCCTCCTCACTTCCCTCCTCCTCCGCACCTCTCTCAATCCTCACCACAAGGGTCCCTGATCCTTGAGTATCAGCCAACAAGCCACCACCACCAGCACCACCAGCAGCACCACCAGCGCCAGCAGCAGCAGCAGCAGCGCCCAGCAGCAGTGGTGAGAATCTCGACTTGTTAAAAACCACAAACACACGCTCATCATCCTCCCCTGGCCTGCCACTAGGCGACTTGCTCCCCCCTCCCCCATTTGCCCCACTCGCCCCACCCATTCCCATGCCAGCTCCCCCATCAACGGCGTGCTGGCCCCGCTCGTACCCCCTCCAGTACGCATAGAATTTAGCCTCAGAAAAGGGGAGGGGGGTGCGGCGCCGTACTCGTTGATAAACACGATGCCTCCGATTGCATCGGGGGTTTTCATGCCGATATAGCCCGTGGGAGTGCCTCCCTGTGACGGTGCCAGTATCGGTCTGCCCACCCACGCACCTACACTCTCATCCTCGCTCTCTTCTTCCTCCTCCTCTTCCTCCTCTTCCTCCTCACTTGCATCCTCATTTGCCTCCTCGCTCCCCTCCTCGATCTCCTCTTCACTCTCCTCCTCAATTTCCTCCTCACTCTCTTCCTCAATCTCTTCCTCACTTTCCTCCTCACTCTCCTCATCACTACTATACTCCATCTCCTCCTCTTCCTCCTCTTCATCCTCTTCCTCCTCCTCATACTCTTCACCCTCCTCCGTCGCTTCCTCACTCTCCGCCTCTTCACTTTCCTCCTCCTCACTCCCCTCCCCCCACCCTATACCAAACCCACCAGCCCCTAGCACCAGAGCTTTACTCCACCCACCAAGCCCCGCCCCAGGCCGGTACCCCTGTGCAGGCTGCTGACTCATCACCCCCATCTCTGCTGCTCCTCCCACCGCTCTCCCAGGCACCGCCGCCGCTGCTGCAGCTGCCCCTGGCAATGCAGCTCCATCTGCGCCTCTCCCTGTGCTCTTAGCAGGCGACACTGTAACGAACGCAATGGGAGACATAAGAGCCTCATGCCCCTCCGCTAGCACAAACACACCAGGAGCAGCAGCAGCAGCACCAGCAGCACTAGCTGCTGCTGCTGCTGCTGGCGGCTCTGCAACCTCTCCGTTTGCTCCTGCATGTGTATGGGTGGAATAGCGGCCAGCACCAGGGCTAGTGGCATTATCCTTTGCTCCAGGAATGGCAAGGGAAGGAGGACGAGGAGGGCGCATAGCACTACCACTACCACTACCACTGGCACCGCCACTACCACTGCCCCCACTTGCTACACTTGCTACACCTGCTGCAGCTGCTGTACCTGCCGCCCCAGACCCCCCTTGCTCCCCGTCCCTTAACCCAGCCCCAGCATCACCTGCCTGATTCAAGTCCTTTCCTTGCTGCGCCTCCTTCCCTGCCTCTCTCCCTGCTTGCCCGTCATGCTTCGCCCCAAACACAAACGCGCTTGCCCCTGCAAAGAACCCTGCCACAGACCCCCCCCACGACTGCTGCCCCCTGCCTGCTGCCCCCCTGCCTGCTGGCCCCCAGGCACAGCCCCTGCTGCTGCTGCAGGAGCTCCCGCCCCTCCCGCGTAACCGCCAGGGGCGAACGGGTGCAGGCCGGAACCCGGCACAGCAGCAGACGCAGCAGCAGGTGCGGCATAAGCAGGGGAGTGACCATAAGCCGGGGGGATGGGGGGTATGCGCGGCTTACCTGCTGTTCCTGACGCGAATGGGTGGGGCTGTGAAGGGCCGAGCTGAGAGGAGGAGGCGGTAGGAGGGCCGACAGGGCGAGGGGGAGCTGCTGCTGGGGGTGAGGAGGAGCGGGGGCAGAGGACCGAGACCTAGATGCGAAAGGGAGAGGTCGGGGAGATGATGGTCGCGGGCTGGTGGGTGGCTGGGGTGCATGCCTTGCGCCAGGCTGACCCTGCCCCGAATGAACCTCCCCCGGGTGAAACCGCCCCCTGGCATTCCCCCTTGGCTGTTGAACATGAATCCGTTACTCTGCTGTTGCTGCTGCTGCTGTTGTGAGGCAGGCCCCCATCCCGCCTCGTGTTTGATTTCCGAGTCCGAGTCATCAGAGTCCTCTTCCCCTGCTCTCCACACGTCCCTCTCTACCCCATTCCTCCGCCCCACATTCCCAACCGTCATCCCCGCTGCCCTGCCCCTGCCGCTGCTGCTGCTGCTGCTCTACTCCCTGTGCATGCCCTCCCTCCCTCACCTCCTTCTTATCCACAACCCCGCCACACCCCCCTCCTGCACCACCCTCTTCTCCACCACTCTCCCCCTCCCCCGGACAAGCCTACTCTGCACCTCCTCCTCCTTCCCCTCACTCTCATACACCACCCAGTCATCATACTCCCCACATCCTCCAGCAACAAACCCCCCGAAGTCGCAGGGCGCAGCACAGGAGCCCCAGACCCAACCCTGACAGCGAAACAGGCGTACCCGGCCTGGCAGGCCCCACAAATCCCACAACCACAGGCTGAGCCGCCGCTGCTGCCCCCCTCCTCTCCACACTCCCCTCGCCATCCGACGAGCTCCACGCCCCACTAGCCCCAGCGCTGGCCAAACCCTCTACTGGCAACCCCTCATGCTCTTACTCGCTCTGTTAATCTCCGCCCCTGTGCCAAAACCCTCTGCTGTCCGCCGTCCCACCTGCTACTCGCTCCAGCATCCCTGCCCCTAGAGACGAACCTCTAGGCGATCTCTTTCCTAGCCGTGATCTCCCAGACTTGCCCGCGCTGCTAGGGCGAGGAGCCCCATGCCATAACCCCCCCTCGCCTCCCTGAAATGGTACCCGCTCCCTGCTCCCCTATTTCAGATACGGGACTCATGCCTCCGCCTCTAGACCCTGACTCGCCAGACTCCCCGCTTTGAACGACCCTGCTTCGTCTCCCCCTCGCGCTCTCCCCCACGAGTCCCCCAACCCGCCCTCCAGCCGCCCACTCATCGTCTCCGAGTCATCACTTGAATCCGACTCCACAAGCTGGCCGATCCGCGCCAGAGTGGAAGATCCAACGGTCACCGCTGCCCGTGGCGGCGCGCTGCAGGAGATTGCTATTGGTTGGTGCGGAGAGGGCAGCAAGGCCGCTGCTGCTGCGGAGGGGCTGGGGGGGAAGGCCGCTGGTGCTGCGGTAGGAAAGGGGGGAAGCTCGCTGTTGCTGCGTATAGGAGGCATACCAGTAGCGCCGCCAGGACCATGACCAGGTAGGGGCTGCTTCGACCATGACTGCTGCTGCTGCTGCCGCTGCTGCTGCTGCACCTGCTGCTGCTGCAGGAGCGTATCCCTATCTCTGCCACTGCCACTACTGCCGCTGCTTCTCCCATGCTTCCGCGCCCCTGGCTCCCCTGCCGTCCGCTCCCCCCAGAAACCTCCCCACCGAACACCCCTTCCTGCTGATCCCCTGATCCAAACGCCCCCTCCCCACCCTGTTCCGCTTCGCTTCGCCTCCCGCCTGCCCCCCCCTTCCCCTGCAGACACAGGCGAGCTCCCACCTAGCGGAGTCCCAGGGGTGGCTCGTTTCGACCCCCACCGGACTGCTCTCTGGGATCGTCTCTAGAGATTTCCCGAGAGCCTAGAGCAGCGCCTAGAGCTCCTCCTACCACGGCGCCTGCCACTGCTGCCCCGGCACCAGCCCCAGCTGCAGCAGCAACTGCTGCTCCGCTCGGGCCTGCTTCCCCTGCTGAACCTGCTTCTGCCGCTTCACCTCTATCACCCGTGTCTGCTGCTTCTGCTGCCTCTGTTGCTTCTGCTGCTTCTGCTGCCCCTGCTGTTCGTGCTGCTTGTGCTGTTGGTTCAGGCAGACTTTGTACGGCAGACTCTGAGTCGCCAACACTACTGAGGTCTCTTGCAGTGTCCCCTGACGCCAGCACGGCTGCAACTGACGTTCTCGAGTTTCCCTCATCCCTTCCGACCCCCCCACCCCTTCCGAACCTCGCACCCCTTCTGAACCTTCCACCCCCTCCATCGCATCCCCGCTGGTTGCTTCTTCTGCTGGCTTGGCTTTCTCGCCTGCAACCAAACCTGCCACCCCGGCTGCTACGGCCCCGCCTGCTGCTGCTGCCCCTGCTGCCAAGCCAGCTATAAGCCCAGTCCTACCAGCACCACCAGCACCACTGGCACACCACAGCAACCACTGCACCACCAGCACCACTGGCAGCAGGAGCAGGGCTAGAACTGGGCGTCTGTGCTTCCGCTGTTGTTTGTGGCACTACAACATCTCTTACTGCAGGCCGCACCCGTTCAGGCAACCTAGGATCCGCGCTAGTCGCCTCATCCGGCGGCTGTGCTTCTCGTTTCGACCTAGCTACCTTCTTCCCTTCTTCCCTTTCTTCTTCTCCTCCGCTTCGCCTGAGCCTGCTTCTCGCGCGGCTCTTGCCCCTGATCGGCGGGACCTGGCTGGCCGTCCGATCTCGGTGGATATCTCCTGGACGGTCACGATCTCTGTGGAGATCTCCTCGATCTTGACGACCTCCTCTCGCACGTGTCCTGATACAGCGCTCCTGCTCGCAGCTGCTTACGACAATTCCGTGGGGTTTGGGGGGGGTACGGGGAGGGGGTTAGAAGGGCCGGGAGGAGGGGGAGGAGGGCGGGGAGAGGGGGGTTGCGCATGGAAGAATGGGGTTGAGTGGAATTATAGAGGTGAAGAGGCAGCAGACCATTTATTTCATTCCTGAACCCTACTCACAGCGAAACATCCCTGTGCCAAACCCTCTTGGTGCACCTAACACCGCGTTCCACCCTTTCACAACTTCAATATGCACCTCCCAACCCCACAGCACCGCACCTGAGCCGGCGGCAAGGCGTGTGAGGCCGTAGCAGCCTCTTCCAGCCAATCGTCGTCCGCACTGGCGTTCGGGAACCACGTCAGCCCTGTGAGGGGGTGCGGGGAGGGGGCAAAGAGGGAGCGGGGGAGGAGGTACCGGGAGTGGGGAAGGAAGGCAGCGGGGAGGGGAAGGGAGGCATAGACGGAAAATCTGGCGTCAAGTGCAAATGTTGGAGCGCATCAACGGTCAGACGCGGGACAGGAAGAGCGAGATGACCTGGTGAGGTGAAAGGTAGCGGCGCTCAGAGACTAGGCAGAAACCTAGTCAGAGAGGGAATCACAAGAGCAAGGTCTTAATCGCCAGATTAGCATATGGGTCTGTAAGGGATCCCAAATCCGCAGGGTGCAAATGACTTCTGAGGCGCCTCAAAAGTCGCAGCTAATAGCCAGAATGGCATACGGGTCTGTACAGGATCGCAAATCCGCGGGGTGCGAATACTAAAAGAGAATTCTATGAACGTATCGAGTTCTTGGAAGAGCGAGTGTATCTTCAGAGATCTATTAGCGATCAGGGCGGTTGCTGGTTCCACTGATGGCGTTCTGATGGTTTCTCTGGAAAATAGGGCTCTTCAAGTAGTGGAGAGCGGCAGTCGTCAAATTCACAAACCTCGTCTAATGAACAACTGTAACGGTAACGGTACTGACATCTGACAATTGCGTTTGGAACTGACCTCTGCCTGATGCGTCGGGTGTGGTGGGTGGGGAACAAAGCGGCCATGGCAGATGACCGTCTTCTAGCGTCGCGTTTGGTGGAATCGCGATACACAAGAGCTCTCTAAAGTGGAACCGGCGTCGCGAGTCGCTGGCTTTCTTGATAAGCTCCGCCTTCTTGCGAGTCCTAGAGTTAGTGGACTGCAGGCGAGTTAAGTCTAATTCATTCGGCTCTTCGGGCCTTTTGCTTTTCTCGCGTTTCGATTCGCGCGTGAGCTGTCTAGACGTGCGTCGCGAACCCCAAAGACTCGCCATTGTCGCGAAAAACTACAAGCATTACAATCCTAAAACGAACCTAAGAACGGATGCACGAAAAAAATAGGCTATCCGTTGCTAGTAGGTAAGCAGGCGTGACCATAAA